CTTTGTTTTGGTGTTGTTTAGAGGTTTTAATAAATTGATAGGTTTTTTTTCCTAGTCCCTAACCCTACCCTATGCATAAGTGACTAGCATAGGAGGACAAAGAATGGGATGATGCAATTAAAATGTAGAAAGCCCCTCAACTAAGAGACTAAGTCAAATCAAGCTACCATGTCTCTCAATTGGCATGATGGTGGTCCAGTTGTGGCTAGGGGTGCAAGGGTTGGACAACCGATTTCAATCCGAGTCTAATCCGAAAAAATTAAGACTTGGACATGGATTTTTAATATTTGGGTTGGGTTTGGGTCAAAAAATTCTAACCCGAATTCAATTTGGGTTGGGTTAGTGTTAAGACCTCGTGAACCTGAGTTCAATCCGAACCTGAAAAATTAAAAAAAAAAAATTATATATATATAAAGCATTAGCACTGATTTTTCATTTTTGTTTTATCGTTCTCTGTTTCTCTCATTCTCTTTGCCTCTCTCGTTCTCTCAGCCTCTCTCGTTAAAAATTTGGTTGAAGTTATTAGTTGTTAATTTAGGTGAATATTATGTAATATATGTATTAGGTTTAAAACAATAAACTTATTTTGGGCTCTACCTGAATTGAACCTGTAAAATAACCCGAAATAATTAACCTGAATTCAACCCGAGCCCGCCCGAATTAAACTCGGGCAGTGCTCGGGTTGAGTTTCCCAACCCGAGGTAGGGTTAGAGTTAGGATTTAAGATTATATACCTAGGGTTGATTGTCCAAGTTGCACTCCTAGTTGCGACAGACTTTACATAAGCCTTACCTTTACTGAATTATAGACTCTGTATCCAATTGCACTTGGCTTTTTAGCTTGATGTAATGTGAAAAATATCCAATTTAAAACCAATTAGATAGAAGATCATGAAATGATTTTTTTTTTTGGGTGGTCCAAAAATTTTCCATTATGGAATTCACTTTTGCATACAAACACCAAATTTCCTACCACAGTAAAAAAAAATTGACTTAATTGGGCCTTGATCAATTCAAAGTTACGGCTCAGTGGAGGAAAAAAGTTTAAGATCAATCTTAACTTTTGAAATCGATCCTAATCGATTAATTGATTCAGCACTGATTCAAAGTTAATGGCTCAATGGAGGAAAAAGATTAAGATCAACCTTAACTTTTAGATTCGATCACCGAGACAGAATTGAACACGATTGAGTTGTAACTTTCTCGCATTGTAGTCTTTTCCTACCTAAAACCACAGATCTAGAGAAAATTCGAATATCTCCAAGGACAGTTGTTGGAGGTGGTTTTATCTTTTTATCTGATGCAACTTCAAAGGAAAGTGTTCATTTCCATCCCCCTTGCTCTTATCTACTTTTAGAAAACAGTATGGAGGTGGTCAAAGAAGAATGTAAGAAAGTTGGAATTACATCAAGAATAAAGATGCATGGTAGCATATTTGTATGTACTTGGAAGATTTTATTCCAAAAACAAGATCTTTGTACTTCTCTTTATTTCTTCTTATACTCGTGGGTATCTTTATCTATACATTCCGCGTTGAACATCCTTGTCAACAAAGGAATACCTCATCTTTTTCTTTTTTTTAACATTTAGGGGTGTTCAGATTAGTTTATGCGCATTTTAACTAATTTCGTTTCCTTTTTTATCATAGACAAACCATTGATACTAAGACTAAGATATTCTTGATGGGACGGCACACCCTTTTGAAGAAAGACTCCTAATAATTGTAGATGACTTACCATCACGAGCGGAGCCACACCTCATTTTTTTGGCACAAAAGCAAAAGTTACCCCTTTTTTTTTTAATTCCATGTTCCAATATAATTCTAGAATTTACCCCCCTTAAAAAAGTTTGAATGCACTTTGATTGGCTTAAATATCTCACATTCATATTAAATTTCAAAATTCATAATTAAGTTAGTTGACTAATATTTAGTTAGTTGAACCTCATCTTCATGTTTTCAAGAAAACATCCCAAAACTTTTTTATTCTCTCTCCCCTATAATTTGCCTCTTCATGGCGCACTTATTTGTTGCATATATAAATCCTATATGTCTTTCAATGCAAGACACTAAAAAATTCTGTTAAGGTATAAACTCTCTTACTATCTCTCCCTCTCTCCCTACATAACATTCAAAAAACACTTGTGTTGTAGAAAATTCGGAGTTGAGTCTATGTGTTATAATACTATATCATTAGAACAAAAAGGAAAACACGGTAATTTTTTGAGTTGTGAGAGGACGTCGAACATCCTCCAAGGCCTTGGAATTAAAAAAATAGGTATATGTTTTTGATTATACGCTTTCCCATATATTTACCATTCATGTTGACCTTATAGAAACTACATATTCCCTTCAGCCTTGCAACTTGTGGTCTTACTAATTCACTCTTTGCCCAATTTGTTAACAACAATTTCACTTTCTTTTTTTTTGAGGTGGATTATGCATCAAGAAAATGTTACCAACCAAATGGAGGACTTGATTTACCTTCACCAACCTTTGCATACGTGATTTTCGTGATGGCGTGAGTCTCATGCAGAGTAGCGTGAATAAAGAAACGAGTTTCAACAACATAAACTTTAATCTGTTGATTATCGCAATAATACCAAATTAAAGTTTTTGAGAACCTTGTTGATTCACAAAGAATACCAAGTCAATTGGGAAGAACAAAAAATTTGTCTCTGAGTTTATTTTAAATAATACTAAAGTTGTTGAATCAGTTTCTCAACACAATATAAATATGAAACTTTAATGGTTCTAAATTACTAGAAAAATCAAGCAAATATTATGAAAATACCCCCAAAGTGTGATAAAATAGAAAAGTGCCTAAAAAATGCCATAATTGTCTTTTTTTGGTTTAAAAATGACGGGTTAAAAGACAAATTGTAATCTTATTCAGATTGCCTTTCAGAATGGAATTTTTTGAAATTTTTTGACACTATCGCTCAAAATCAACCCTAATTGGCACCCATTCAACACTATTTTTGACGATCTTGATCTATTATGTATTCTTCTGCTATACGTGTTGTATCATGCATTAAATTGTCTAACGATTCTGTGCATGATCCGAAAGATTTTAAGAATAAAAGCAAATTCTGCCCACTTACTTTTGTTTCCAATTATCGAACCTGGGCACGTAAAAGTGGTGAGGGCTAGAAATGGTGCAAACCTGTTCTACCCAAGGGATTTGATATTCTGAGTAAAAGTGGTTTTTAGTGAACAACTTGACAACGAAGAGCCTTTTGAGTTTTGACCTGAAAAAAAGCTCCACAAATTCTTTTTGGGTTCTGAAAGAAATGTGCATCTGACAGGCATGTTCCATGGATGCCCTGAAAATAGGGAAGGTTTCCTTGGTGAAAAGCTTCATGGGTTAGTACCTTTAAAGCAACTGGGTGCCTCGCCCCATTCAAGTCCACAAAGAGGATCCTATAGTGGATGAAAAATCTAGAAGACTCTTTGAATTTAGAAAGGTCAAATTGTCTCAAGTAGTTGCTCTGAAAAGATGGTATTGGGGAGCAGCCTGAAGTTAGGTAGGCTTTTTTTTTTTTTTGACTCCTATGACATGAATTGTTTTTCACTGTGTGTATATTGTCACCAGCATACCTTTTTTTATGAGTAGAAATATTTTGAGCGTATATATATATATATATATTTAAAAAAAATCAACACTTTTATTCCATAACCAAATTTTTACAATCAATGAAAATGCTATATATAGCTATGATTAAGTATCATATATCACTGACGCAGAGGAATAAAGGAATAAAAAGAACGATTTTAAGTATATTTATATTTTATACACTAAATCCATAGAAAAAATAACAAGAGAATATCGCTAAAAATGTATATTATTCACTGAATAATCTCTATTACATAAGAGAATATATATAAGAACGGACAAAACCTTAATCGCTCCCACGTAAAATTTCTAATTATATAAAAATTACCAAAAATAAAAAATTACAATCTAATTAATTAGCATAAAAACACGTGTCGTCTGGAGTTCAACAAAATTGAAAGTACTGAATTCAAAACCTACAATAATTTTTTATTAATTTCTGAATTTTTTCCTAAAACGGAAAAAATGGGGTTTCAAGGGCCTAGACGATCGACTCAAAACTGGAGGAGTTGATGACAAAGTTATGAGTTTGATCGTTGGCCTGATTCGAATTAAACACCAAATAATCATCAACCACTTGTTCTATATCATATCAAATTGGGTAGATTCTATAGCATTATTCCCGATTACATTAAGGTGGTGATGATGGGGTTGCTCTAGGTTGGCCATACAAACATTGTTTGGTGTCAATGGCCACCAATAAGGTGGTGGAAGTCTAAACAAAATCATTCTCGTTTTTCTAAGATTAAACCGACGGATTCACAAATAAAACATCTAATGTTACAATTAGCCCATGCATTGTTGAAGCTTCTAAAAAAGCTAGGTGAAATAATAAAGTACCTCGTATTTTTTCCCTGCTTGCACTAGATTGAGCTAGAGGGGATGATACACAACTATATGAGGGGTGTTCGGGTAGGTCATAGGTCGCCCCATGCCATGTTGTCATGAGTTCGAACCTCCTCACCTCTACCGACGAAAAGTTGGGATACATATCATAGAAAGCCATGTCCATACAACTTCTCCATTCTATGTTGTGTTACTTTCAACCAAAGTTGTTTTCTAGAGTTGTTATTAAGTTAGGTTAAAAACCCACCTAATACAAGAGTGCAAGACAGCTTTATGTGAATGATAAATGGATGCATTCTCTCAAAAGAGCCTCTTAAATGAGTTGAAAATGGGAGTCCCTATCACTGTGCCTACCAGGGCTACCCCCATAGACTCCATGTGATGACATGTGGCATTTTCCCAATTGCCCACTTGGCCTTCGAAGATAGGGTGATCTGTATTCTTTCACTTTGATACCTTATGTCTAATCTTATCCTTTCACTTCCTATATAAAGAACGCTCAATGACCAAAGTTTTTGTAGCCAAAATAATATCAAGCTCTTGTGATCCTTCTTATTAGAAATATAGGAATGGCTACAATGACTTTAGATGGAAATTTGAGCCTTCAAATCAGCAAAGACCCTCAAAAACATAGGGTCGTGACAGAGGAAATCGACGGTCTAATAAGAGTTTACAATGACGGACATGTGGAAAGATTTCAAATTGTTCCATGTGTTACGTCTATATTGTCTCCGGAGTTTGGTGTAAACTCCGGAGACATAGTCATTGACAAGTTATCAAAAATTTGGGCACGTTTTTACGTGCCCAAATACCATGGGAAGAAGATTCCCCTCCTAGTATACTTTCATGGAGGTGGTTTTTGTGTTGGCTCAGCTGCTTGGAGTTGCTACCATGACTTTCTAGCAAAACTAGCAGCAGGAGCAAATTGCATTATCATGTCTGTAAATTACAGTTTGGCCCCCGAAAATCCTCTTCCTGCTGCTTATGAAGATGGATTTAAAGCTCTTATGTGGATTAAACAACAAGCTCTAAGTGGGGTTACTGATCATCAATGGTGGTCAAGCCACTGCAACTTCTGCAACATCTTCCTCGCCGGCGACAGTGCCGGAGCCAGCATAGCCTACAATGTGGCCTTGAGGATAGGCGACGCCGCCACCACTTTGAAGCCTATGGGCATTAAGGGGACCATTTTGGTTCAGCCATTTTTTGGAGGAGAGACAAGGACACACTCGGAGAAGTTCATGGTGCAACCACCGCGTTCCGCCCTCAGTTTGGCAGCCTCCGACACATACTGGAGGCTGTCACTGCCGACGGGGGCGAACCGTGACCATCCATGGTGCAACCCATTGGCAAGAGGGGCTAATAAATTGCAGGACTTGGGGGTTTTGGTGTGTGTATCAGAGATGGATATATTGAAAGATAGGACCTTGGAGTTCTGTGCTGCTTTGGCTAATGCTGGTAACAAAGTGGAGCATGCTGCGTATAAAGGTGTTGGGCATGCATTTCAGGTTCTGAGCAAGTCTCCACTCTCACAGACTCGAACCCTTGAGATGATTTCTCATATCAAAGGGTTCATTAGTAGATGACAATCTCTCTCTCTCTCTCTCTCTCTCTCTCTCTTAAGTATGTGTATGGATATAAAATTGTCCTTTTCTGATTTGAGAACAGAGATTTCATGTCGATTTTGTAATATGGTTTTTAATATGATTGCAATATCATTTGTCTATTTCTTTAACTTACTATTAAACTTATTGGGTCTCACCAAATTCCAATGAAATTCACCACCAATATATTAAAGAGATCAAATAAATTTAACAATAAATGATTGTACACGATAAAAATGCCGTAATTTATGGATAATTGTGGTTTGAGAAAGGGTCTACACTAAAATTATTGGACTCTGGGTGTGACATAAAGGGCGGAGTGGAGAGAGGTAGTAAGAGAAGTTGTGGGTCCCTTTGTAAGTCTCCTCTGTTAAAACATCAATAATGCTAATTACATTAATCAAACTTTTTTGGTAATGTTTTCTCATCAACACGATACATGCACCCGCAAACGAACTTGGACATTCACATAAGAAATGGTTCTCTCACAATATGATGGAAGGATCCTGTCAATGGCCAGCAAGTTACAGTTAACTGTTATTTGCATTTCCTTTACATCTTTGTTCAGGGTGCTTGTACCGTGCCGTTTTTATACTGTATTACTTTGAAACGTATATTACATTTACATTTAGGGTGACATCGAAATCTATTTAATTCATATCATTATTTTTATTAATAAAACTATTTAATTTAATACTATGAGTCCATTGGTACCATACTGAAATAAATTTGTGATTGATGATTTTAGTTTGAATAATTTATCATAAAAAGTAATAAAAAAATGTTTATATGTATCATGATTTTATTAGATAAAAAGTGAGAATATAATACGGAAAATAATTTTGTAGTACTATAATTGAACCCGATATAATAACGTTGCTTTGCCATATGTATGAGAAAACACGTTTTCTTCGCCATAAACCCGTTGCACCCAAGTTTCCACTTTCTCCGGCACATACGATTTCTTTAACATTTCTTAAGGATCCGTTTGTTTAGCAAAGGAGAACACAAATCAACTTTTTACGCGTTTGTTTAGCACGATTATGACAGAAAGTGCAAGAAATTTAAAATTCTCGTACAACCCAATTAAAATTTCTATATCAGATATCTGCACCAGGGTAGTTTAGCCAAATTATAAAAAATTTCAAACAGCTTTCTAAAAAAAATTGCACCAGAAAAAAGTATAGCTTAATTTCATTTTTCTTTCTTTCACTTTAATTTTTATTATTTTCACTTTCTATCATTTTTTTTTTCTTTCCAACCAAACAAATCCTAAGAAAATATCTTTCTGATTGCACCACAAATGGGAAAAAAAAAATATTCATTACAATGTCGATACCATGTGACAATGTTAACGTGGTATCACCAATCAATAATATCAAAACAAATAAACCAATAGATCCCACAAAAATTAATAACCAACCCTCAATGTAAACAAATAACTACTCACTCTTCTATGTAAAAGCCAATAACTACCCAAGTAAGACTCACCTCCCCTACTTAATATTTTTTTATTAATTGGTGATATTACATCAACATTGCTGACATGATATCACCTTGCATTCAATATTTCCTCAATAAATAGAAGGTTGGGGTGCAACTGTCCAATGATATAAATTTTTGGTGGCATTTGGCTAAACAAAAAAAGCACATAATCAATAAGCATAATTCCCAATCCCACATGCTAGGTAACAACATACTTCCCACTCAAAGCTGATACAACTAATCTGACGTAGACGAACTTTAGCACCCCTGACAAAGGTTTTCTTCAATCAAAATAAAGATTCAACAGGTGAACTTCAAAGGAAATGAACTTATCTAGCTCGACATCATAACATGATCAATTGCCTGAAGTGCTTGGTTAGCAAAATAGCGGACATCCACATCTGGGTCCTCAGCAAGCTCAACCAAACACGGACGAATGGTCTTCTCAGCCACCTAGATTGCAACAAGAAAATCACAGACGAATGAGGGGAACAAATAGACGTCAAACTTCAATACAATGGGGAAAAAAAAGAAACGATTAGTTACTCACAGATTGGTCAACAATAGGAATTAGGGACTGCAACACCTTTGCTACGTTAAACTTAATGTTGGGCACTCTGCAAAAATGAACTTTAGCACATTAGCTCCCTAGGCCAAAATCAGAATATTACAATGTCGGAAAAATGAAGTCCAAGAAACTTAGAAACCTGTCCTTTGATGCAGTAACGACCACAGGTAGCAGTTTAGAACATGTGATTTCAGATCCCATAACGGGGGCTAGTAACGAAATTGCAAGAAGAATGGTCATCCGATACAAGTAATGTGAATTGTTAATCATATCCAAAACCTGTCCAGATATGAGTGATAACTTCATTCCTCAAGGAAGCAGGAAATAAACCATAAGCATAGACATGACGGGGGCGGAAAACAGAACAAAAAGGGTGCATTAGATCATTACACTCCAGAACCACCACAGCAATCCCTATATATGCATAGTAAAGAGACCCTAAACATGCATGCCAACAACATGGAAGAGATTAAGTTTCCACCCCAAAACACTTGTATTCCAATTTGACACATAATCAGACAAATTTCACTTTACCCCTTATGGTTAGGTCCCTCTGCATATCATCCTCTCACCTTAACAAATAAACAGACAACACTTGTGTTATGTCTCGGATTTAAATCCACAGAATCACATGAGGGTTACATGGTTATTGTGGAGTTGGGTCACTGTTAACAGAATCAATAGTACATTTTGGTTCATAAACCACACGAGGTTTATGTATCCATTTTTTAAGATGCAGAGGGACCTAAACACCAAGGGAAAAAAGTTAAATTCACCCAAGAATAAAAAAGGCCATGATGAAAGTCGCTATATGTTGCCCAAATCACTGAGATTACACAACCATACAACAAAAGGAATATAAGCTAGTAGGAGTACAGATCCCAGAAATCCATCCAGCCACCTGAATTCAAGATGCAAAAATCATGACTATGTCTGTGCAAATAAGATAGTTAGACACACTTCAATATTCAATGAATTTCTATTATGTAAGCTAATAATCAATGCATCAACAGAAAATTAAGTATTTGAAACAACACAAGCCTGTGGAATTATGTGCTGCATTGCCCACTCCGGACCAAATTCCTCTGCAAGGCGCTTCAAGTTATTTGCAGCAGCATCCCGAATAGAGTAAACCTGAAACAAAATACCCAAAACTATAAGCCAAAACATATAGAAACAACAGATTTAAACCACCTGTATTCCATGATAATGTTTGTTTCACATGTCCAAAGGAAGGCAAGATGCAATTACTAGGTTGGGTGAAGCCTTCTATACTTGGTGATCAAAAAGAAATATCTTTTTAGTGCAAAAAGTCAAAAAAAAAATAATTCCATTTACTATAAATCGCTGTAGTAACATTGACATCCATTCAAACATAAATCTGTGAATCCCAGTGAAGTTTTCCTTTTCTCGATTTTTTGTGTATTAATCTTTGAATCCTTAAACCTGATGATAAAAAACCATGACTGAAACCACCAAGACACAAGCAGGATCAGCTAGATATTATATAGTCAAATGTAGTTGATATGTTAAGAAATCAGAGATCCTACCACTTCTCTCTTCAGCAGACACAAATGGTGACCAACAAATTGAGAAGAGAAAAAAGAAGTAAACTCCTCCCTAGCCACCACCAAGTGGAGGATACATAAAGAACAAATTTACATTGTGAAGATGACACACACAACTAACAGCTGGAAAAATGTCTCATACATTTCCTACTGCTAATATTCATATGACAAAAAGCACAAACCTTATCTTGTAACCACTGCATGCAGAGAGCACCAAGCTTATCATCGAAAAATCCTACACCCAACTGACTAGCCAATAGAGGTATATACTCTATTATTGCAAGTCGGACCCTCCAATGCCTGTCCTCCGCAAGCTCAACAATCGCCGGTAATAGAGACTGGGACAAAAGGTCGATTCCAATAACCTGCAATTACAAGAATTGTTGATGTCAGCATCATTGTAAAGAAAAAAGAATCTGTTACAAAGATTGTATGTTCCTAAAAAATGTTGACAGAAAGGCCCGAAAATTCAGAAGGCAAAAGATGGACAACATTAAGAGCTCCATAGGACACAGGTTACTAAAGATGAGCAGCATTGACAAATTCCACTATTTCACCACTAAGCTTCTGGAGTAGATGATATATGTTCCTTAGAAGATTTTCATAAGATTTGGTAACATGTGAATGAAGAGCATGAGAGAAGAAAAGAAAGGATGGGTCCATATGCTCTGTCCAATCCAACTAGTTAGATATTTCACAAAACCAAAAAAAAAAAAAAAACTGCAGTAAATGCAGTGCCAACTAGCGCAAATAGTCACACAAGCATACAGATCCATGAAGACAATGTGTGCGATCCAGGAGGTCCTCCGGCTTGGATTTCTTAAGGCCATAAAATATCTCACAGCCAAGACAAGCTCTATAATTCATGATGCTTAACCAAAACATTTTACCTGATTACAAGACCATTTTTAATCCTCATTCTAGTGCCATTTTATTGGGTTAATTTTAGATCATACATTGAGGTGTTAGCAATAGGAAGCCAAAAAATAACAGATGGCTGATTGAGTATGTAGACCAAGTAAAAGAACAACAGTGAGATCCAACATTGTAAATTTTCCCAAACCTGGTTGACTTGATCTAACTTGCTGATAATATTGAGGCGTACATCAGGAAACTCATCCTTCAGGAGGGAAAGAAATATTGGAAGAAGCTGTTCAATTGTTGCATCCTGCATTGACCACCAAACAGAAGTTTTACAAAACAGATGCTTCATGGGAATCTTAAAAAATAAAAAAAAAGTATTACCCAAAAATTCATAGATTAACTGTGGGCAAAAACTTGTGCCTCTTAACAAATCCACATAAAAACAGTAACCTCCAATAAGCCATCACAATAGATAAAATACAACAAAATATTCGACAATTACAAACGACAAATGTCCCAACACGCAAAACCAAAACTTCATAGCCAAACAAATAAATACCCAAATACAAAATATGGTCAAAGAATTTGACCATACATTCCATGAAATCACGGAGTACTTACTGACAAAAATGAGGTCCATACCAAATGCTGTCTTTATTAGCTAAAATAAAATGGCCAGCAACTGCTTAAAAAATACTAAATGCTCTAACCAGCAACATACATGAGCTATATGTTATGACACTGCAGAGCCATCACAACATAAACAATAATGTGTAAAGTGACAATGAACCGTAACTGCCTATAAACAAAAATTGAATGTATTAAGACCACAATGGGTGCATCTACACCGAGGAGCAGTCAGAATGAACACGCAGCCAACTAAATTTCCCAAATACTTTAACAGAAAAATTGTAGTTATGACTAAAACACTCATGCAGTTTTGAGAATCCTAATCCATTTTTTTGCAGTTAATAACACACACCCAATCATTTTCATCCCAGAAACCATGTGTTCAGTCAATGAAAAATCACAAAATTTTTGCCACTAGGAAATTTCATGCAGAGTCTATATAGTTGTGGACGTAGATGATCCTTTCATTATAGATTAAGTACAGAAATTGATAAAATCAAAATATGGAATATCCTTCTCCGTATTTGCATGCAAGAATTGAAGGAAACCAATAAATACTTCCCTCAACCTCACAAAAAGACATTCTCACCTTCCCTAAGACAGGAGCCATTCCCATTATAACAGAAGCCAAAGCTGACCTAACATGCTGGGAAGAATCTGATGACAATTCCTACAAAATGTTGTGGCCAAGTGATAAGATAGCTGGAAGAAAGGGCACATAAAACCATAAAAGTTCATCACCTAACAGTTAATTGTAGTATTTTTTGCATTTGTTTTAACCCGGGAGGAGAAGATAGAACGAGTTTTTTTTTAATCTATACTACCTTCACACAGGGAAGAATGTGCTGAATTGCCAGTTCTGGGTTGAGAATGCGGCAAAACTTGGTGACTTTTCCAGCAGCTGCTATACGTACTTCAGCTTCATTATCTCGGAGCAGCCGCACGTACGCAGGAACCAAATCCGTCCTTAACAATTTTTTTAACCATCAACCAAACATTCCAAAAGAGACCACAAAGATACTGATGTAACCAAAGTAAATGGAAGGGAATTGTAACAAACAAAACCCAGCATGAAAAATTATATGAAGCAGAAAGTTGACAAAGATAAGATCAGCAATTAATGCTCATTCAATGTTTCACATGATTATCTATGATCGACAATCGACCACATGGTAAAAGAAGTCATTTGCAATATATAGCGGTGGAATGGCATGTTCAGTAGAAGTGGGTGAATAGGTACCTGGTCGGTTCAGGCCCCACAGCTTCACAGAGTTCATACAATTGGTTTGCAACCATGTAGCGAACACGCCACGACTTATCCTGATTGAGAAAAGCAAAGCACCAAAATTTAATATGAAATCTTATGCAAAAACAAATATTTACAGATGCTTCTGAACATTAGAATACATTTTCCAGATCCCCACAGAAAAAAAAAAAAAAAAACACATCATGAAAAAAAAAAAAAAAAGCAAATAATTCCGGCAAGCGAGGCCACTTGGAAAATGAAAACAGAGAAGAACAACACAAGTAACCTCCCTGAGTTTTCCCAAATTGCTCATGGTTGCCATTTGTCTGACTTCCAAGAGAAATTATTGATTCTGATAGGCTTCTAATTGCAAATTCAAACTTGATAGACACATTACTTTGTATTAGGCTTCCTAATAAATAAATCTCCAAATACAAATTTGGCAGAATTTAAAACTTTAGTGTGTCCGCTGTATGGGTATGCTTTATGGTTAATCTCTTGGTAGTCTATTTTGCTCAAAGTTCTTCATTTGTTAACAATGCAGAACTTTGAGTAACCTGCTAAACCATAGAGCTGCATTTATAACATTGTCAAAGTAAAATGTGATTCCCCATAGTAGGGCAAATAAATACAAGAAAAAAAGGTCAAGCTTGCATTTTGTGCAGGTCGTGAGGGAAGCATGCAAAACATCTCTAGTCTCTGTAACAGTAGTTATCTACACTGAATGCCATAAACTATTTCATAAAAGGAGAGATTCCTAGAAAATCAAAAAATACCTCACAAATATTCAGCCATTAAAAATGCACAGAAATGTATGCCAGTGAAAACAATGGGATAACTATGGAAATATATGACGGGATTATATCTATCTAAAAGCACAGATGCCAGATCTAAGTCAGCCCAAATTATATTCAGGAAAACAGATAAATTTTTACATAATATGATTATGGTATACAGGAGTACCTGAGAGAAGTTGACAATGACAGGGAGAATGTGTGCAACACAGTCCTGGGGCTCCAACAACTTTCCAAGAGCAGCACAACCCTCAACAGCTAGTAATCGAACAGAATCTTGATCTGGATATATACACATACACCCACACACACACAGACATGAATCTCATACTAAATAAACAAATAACAACAAATGAATGCGAATATTAAAAAAGGCCAAACCAGATAGGCGGACACAAATAGCCACCGTTTAAAAAAATGTTTAATTCCAATTTGAGGAAAACAAATGACCATCTGTCAGAGACACATTTGTTCATTCATGTTTCAATACCTAGGTTAACCCCCCATTTTTATAGTCCATAGCTGATCTCAATAATGGATCCTTTCTGAAATACTATTAACCACAATAATTCTATAAATGAATTCCACAACCAACAGAAAAATAAAACACATTTAGTCTTGTTTATCTTTGAGAAAAAAAAATAGCAGCGCCATGACCAGATATCATTTTCTGAAATCAAAGGTTTCGATTTTGAGAGATTCACAAATTTGCCAAACCCTTTGAGATAATAACAAATTCACCCCTTGCTGCACATACTGCTCAGTTATTATTGTTGTTATAACTTTTGTTCAAGAAGTACATTTGTTACCTATCAAAAATAAATAGACATAGAAGTACATTAGGTACGAATTTTTACAAGATTCATCATTCATCAAGTTGCAGAAAGTAGTTTTTATTGGCCTGTAGTTTCGAATTGATATTACTTACCTTAAAAAAAACCTCAGTGCCCTAAAAACACAAAAGTCGAATAGTCAGCCTAAGTTTCATGTTGGAAATAGGCCCACAATGCCTCCACATATACATATTCAACTCAACAACACCTTAATCCCAATTATTTGGGATCAGCTATATGAATTCAGTTTCTCCATTGCACTCTATCAATGATCATATGTTCCGTTAGACCATAAGCTACCATATCTTTTTTTACTATTTCATTTACAATAATTTACACCTACCTCTTCCTCTCGCATTACCATCGATGTGTATCAAATCACTCTTCCTCACTGATGCATTATTAGGTCTTTTATAAACATGTTCAAATCACTAAAGTCGACTTTCTTTTAATCTATCTCCTATTAGTGCTACTTCTACAATTTGACGAATATACTCATTTTTAATTTTCTCCTTTCTCGTTTGACTACGCATCCATCTTAACATTCTCATTTGTACAACTCTTAATTTTTGAGCATGTGTTTCTTAATTGCCCAACTTTCCATCCCATACAGCATTGGTAATCTAATGGTTGTGTTATCAAACTTAGCTTTCAACCTAATGGGTATACGTCAATCACATAATACACCAAATGCATTCCTTTATTTAATCCATCTTACTTTAATCCTATGATTAACATCATCTCCAATCTTTCCCTCCCTATGTATAATTGACCCCAAAATCAAATACCTAAAGTTTTCGCTCTTGGGTATATCTAGATCTTTGATCTTTACTACCTCCCTATTTGGGTTTCTACTATTATTAAAACTGCATTCCATATATTTGATTTATATCTACTTATCCTAAATCCTTTTGATTCTAAAGTTTATCTATAAACTTCTAGGTTATTGTTAATTCAAACTTTATTATAATGTCGACAAATAATACAAATCATGAAACCTCATCCTAGATGTATCTAGTCAATTCATCCACAATTAATGCAAAGAGATACGAACTTAAAGCAAAAATGTGATGTTGGTTAATTCCATCAAGTAACATTTTATCTTCATCAAATAATGATGCCCAAATTAACATTTTATTTTTATCTTCCTTTGGACATCATTATCCACCACCAAGTTTTTTTAGCTAATGGTCCATTACCTTTTGGTTCTCCCAAAGCCTCTATTGATATTCTTTTGTCGCTTTCTATCATCGTATTCCACATTGAATTAGTTTCATCTACTAAATTTTATGTTGCTTCCTTTAGCATTTTATCCCTAAATAAAACTAGTTTTTCTCCTTTTAAATTTCACCAACTTGTCTTGGGTTTTTAACATTTGTTCTTATTCTTGAATGAGTTTTGAGACATATATCTAGTACCATTATCCTATGTTGTGTAGTCAAAGTCTCTCCTACAATAACCTTATATGAAAAAAAATAATTAAAGAACTTAACCAGCTAGGCACATTTTTTATCGCAACACAATTATTGGGACAACACAATGACTACTTGTCGTCAATGAAATGCAATGCATTGCTTTAAATATACATCTAGAAATGAGTGTGATAAAATCTAACTTATAAATGAACAATTACCATCCTGTGTAAGATCATCAAAAATGGACATGATATCAGTCTTGAGATGATCAGGTTCAACAGTGGCAGCAAACTTCCCCAAGTTTGTTGCTGCGGACCTTCTCACCATAGGCATGTCATCCTGACACAACTGGCTGTATATTGACCTTAATTCTGTCTTTAACATCTCTGGGGCACTCGGGTAAGCAATATGAAACAATCCACAAGAAGAAACTCTAGCTGTAAACCATTCACCAGCTGCCAGCCTCTGAGGGAAGGAAATTTAAGCATGTAAACAAAAAGAAAAAGAAAGTAAATAAGTGATTAACTCGGGTAGCTCAGAAAATAGCTTATATGTAATAATATAACACAAACAGAAACAATAGAGCATTGATATAGGGGAAAGCATACACAGACATAGAGAATTTGACATTTCGAGACACAAACTTAGTGCCAAACATAGGAACAAGATGTACTTTTCAACTTACACCAATTCTGCTATTCCAATTCTTCTAAGTAAACTCAATGTCCCTAGATAACAAGAAGGGGTTATTATGGTGTAGGACTGCAAGGTGGATCATACACAATATAGACAAAGACGATCACCATGTAAATGATTAAAAAGAAAAATGAAAAACAAAAGTTCATGTTCAATTAAATGGGATAACAATTTATCCTGGAATGTGGTGGAATTTACAAAGAATATATAAGCTTCCTAGTGGGTAACTATCCAAATATGGTTGGAAACTGATCAACATGGAAGAGGAAAAAAGAAACAAAAAATAAGCAATTGTCTAACCTTCACCAGAGGAATAAACCAATCAACCAAATCCGTCTCCCTCATCTGCGACCCAATTCTACACAATGACTCAACAGCTTTGTCCCTCACACATGTTTCCTCCACAGTGCAAAGGGTTTCCAAAGGCGGAAGCAAGACATGGGCATGCTCAACTCCTCCAACATAAGGTATAAACACTCCCAATTCCTCTGCCATTGCAAGCAGCACCTCATCATCATCATCATTATTTTCACTCAAAAAGGGGATCAACTCTTTTCGTGTTCGGTCCTCCCCAAGAGCACGTGCAATTGTTGATAGCTTCCGAATAGAACTCAACCGCAATTGAATGTCATCATTCTTTAGCTCATCTATCAAAACAGCTATGGGATACAGTGGTTCATCAACCATCGACATTGTATTTCAAAATGTTTCTTGCGGCTTCAAACAATCACCAAAAAACAGTTAATTAGAACAAAATTTTACATCACACAACAAATTTATGGTTCTAGCAAACTCTCTCTAAAAACAACCAACAATCACCGACACAAACCTAGAATGACAAAACATTGTCAATGGAAAAACAATGAGCATAAATGGGGAAACAATTTTCAATGAAAAATTCATCAGAATAACTGCCCTAAAATCTGACAAAGGTTGACCTTCATATAAATTCATTTGCACAAGGTCTTAGCTTCTGATTTGAAAAAAGAAATCTTATAACATAGTAAGAAATCCTAAGCTCCTGTTTTGTTTCTGCAAAAATCGAGAGAATTTAGACAGCATAACAACCCAAAATTTATAACTAACACGTAAAACGAAAGGCTGCAACTCAAATGACCAAACGTTTAACTTAGTTGAATGTAGCAATTATCGGAAACCAGTGAAAAATTAATCATTGGATTTAAAATTCTATTTCATTGAATTAACCATCGTCTTCTTAGCAAAAAGGAGAGCAATCGAATCTAACATTTCCAACTGAGATCTGAAACAAGCCCTACGACATGGATCCAGAATAAAAAAAAGAACTTCTCAATAACATGAAATCAAGCTGTTAGAAAGCGAATTTCGAAGCACATAACCCTAAGTTTTCAACAAGAGTTTCATTCATTGTTCCAAACTAGATCAATCCAAAGAACTAATCGGTTAAACCAATATGTATCCACATCTAGGGCATGAGAGAGACAGACAAATCCAGAGAAGAAAGAAAACAAAATATTACCGCTTGCAATGCCTTCCCGCCGGCTACCTCAGATTCGAGGTTTCTGTTCCTTCGTCCAATTCAAGAGAGAAAGATAGAGATGTATTTGATTTAGCTGTTCTTTTTATATGGATGATCAAGAATATATGTCCTGAAGCCCATAAAACTGGGCTTAATGGAAGTACTACAGTGTCGGGCCTTGTCGATGCACCAGATATGTATTGCGTTAATTTTTTATTTTTTTTTTAATTTTTTTTTCCCCTTTCACCTTATATCACTTTAAAAAATTATATAAAATAATTGGGAGGTAATAAAAATAATTTTTTTTTGAAATTTTTTTTTAAATATTGTTAATTAAATTTCAAGTTGAGGATGATTACAAAAAAACACATAGTAGAATATGATTGTGAAAAATCTTATTTTGGTAATTAAAAAAAAATCAAATCTCTAAGAATTTATAAACATGAAGGGAAGGCTTCTCAAGCATTTTTTCCACTACTTTCTTTATTTTATATATGTAAACTATCAGATAATTTTTTGGGTTTTGCACTATGAAATCTAAGACTTCAAAATGCACAATGTTGCAAAAAATTGTGCTTAATATATATAAATATATATATATATATATATATACCAAAACACAGACAAGATGCGGAAGACATGATCACAAGCTATAGATATAGAAATGTACATAAAATATTTTATTGAAATGTACAATAAAATACAATAACTGAAATTAACTTACAAATAGTTTATTGGGATAAGTTGTTAGAAAAGAAGCTATTAATTTGCATTAAGTATGAAGGCTTGATACAATATGAGAGTGAGGGAGAAGAAGTGTATGTTGGATTGTAGTGTGTCTATCAAGACTTGGTTTAGCGAAAGCTTTTATTTAATGTAAAATTTTATGTACAAGGTACACTTATAGTAGTAGAGGTAGAAGGTAGAAGATGAAAGGTTTACACAAGAGAAGAGGGTTCACCGAGGGTGCAAGAGGGGAGAGAAAAAGAGTAGGTAAAGGGGTGGTGTAGGTATATGATTCGGTGTGAGATGAGGTGCTCCACAGGTCGGGCCTGCATCTTTTTATATAGAGTCGAACATGAAATTCAGATTTCAAAATTATCTTATATTTTTCACAATTTTATATTATTTACAACTTTAATAATTTACAATGACGTCATTTCTTACGTCATAAATATTGTACACTATTCACAATCATTGTAGTGACGTCAGGCGCGTGCGTTACTTCTTCGTAGTGACGTAAGGGCGTACGTTACTTCTTCTGAGTCGATTTTATCCGAGAAATCAGCTTTATTTGATCATTTCCTGTAAAAAAAATTACACAGCACATTATCGCTGTCATCTTGGATGTTTATCTTCATATCATCATTTAACAAATCTTTATTAATAGTAATGTCACCTTTAAGAAGGGTATATCCCTGTGAATCCATAAAGTGGTCATAAGAATTAATAGGAGTAGGAGATTTCCTATTTTTTTCCTCAACTTTATCTTTTCCTTTGTCTTTTATAGCAACCGAAGGAGTGTTGATGAGATTCATCTTCTCTGTTTTAGTCATACCAAATGTAGACATAACCTGAAGACGGAATTCCTCTATAACTGCTGCTTTAAGCTGCTCAGAGTTTAAATGGGGTTTTTCTTTTTTAATTAGTTTTTTAAGAACTTCAACAAAATTTAAATTAGTTCAAGTATTTATACCAGTAGATAGAACAATAAATGTAGAAGATGAAGTTTTATCAGTTGAATATTTATCTTATTCTTTATTTATGTCTTTAAGACATTCCGCTATGATTTTACACTTAAACTCAAGCGGATAATTTTTCCAAAAATGTACTTGATATTCTCTGATTTGTTTGGGATCATAGATATCATAAGGATATATCCTTTCAATAAGTTTGGAGAAAAATAAAAAGTTAAGCTCTATATATGGAGACAAAGTCAAAAATCTTTGAATAATAGAGAGAGATTTATCTCCTGACAACTTTTATTTATTGTCAACTTTATTTGACAAGGATGTAACAACTTTAAGTTGTTTTGACGGATTAGCATCAATATTACTTTTATGTGATATTTTCTTTATAAAAAGTGGAGGATAATAAGCATTTTTATATAGATTAAAATAATATGCACTTCTATATGCATAAGAAACATTTTTATATTCATCATAATAGTATGCATTTTTATATACAAAAATTTGGGTTCTTATCGTTATACCACCAAGTTTATTTATCATTTCTTGACAAAATTCTTCAGGGACTATAGTCTCCAGCCATTATTTATATTTTCAATCATAATGTCAGTCATTTAGTTTAAGAATAAGAAGAAACTTTAAACTGTTTTTAAAGATTCTCTTTGACGTAAATTCTTAACAAAAAGATAGGTACATGATCAATTAATTGATCTTCTATAGCATTGCAATAGAGACACCAAAGTGAAACCTTGCAATCATTAGTATTCCAGGTAGAGGCAAAGTTAAAACACATCTTCACCTGCATAATTACAAAAACAGTCAAGAAGTTCTGATGATTTGACAATAAAATCCAAAGAAAATGAATATGAGCTATAATTCATTCCTGAAACTTCTTCAACTTTTCTTGCAAAATAAACATCACTTTCCAATATGTTAGAAGATGATGAGAAATTTAATTGATTTTATTTATAAATCAAATTTTATTTGATTTGATTTATCAATTTTATTTAAGGTAGAGTTATAAACTCAAATAATATCTGTTGACCATTTATGGTAGTCAAAATACCTTTAGAATTGATTATTTCGATAGGTTCGATTAAAGATAAAAATAGTGTTCCTAAAATCACCAATTGATTTAAATTATAAATAAGCATAAAAGTTGTAGAAAAACAAATTCCTTGATTACATACTAAAATATTATAAAGTTTAAAATTTATATTTAATTTTGAACCATCAGCAACGCTTACTAACTGAATAGTTTTCTCAAAATATTTAGTCGGAATTAATCTTGTATTTATGTAGTTCATATTTGTTCTACTGTCAATTAAAACAATAGTTTCGACAATAAATTCAAAATTTATAACTAAAATAATTTTAACATACCATTTCTAATAAATTATTTTTTTCTTATACATTTAAAAATTCATTAGTTGGAGAGTTAGATGATAATGTTTTATCATTCTGAATGTCATTTTCTTTAAGTGGCATTTTTTCTAAAGTTAGGAGTCTAGCGTTTATGACTTTTATGTCTTCTTTGACATTATGAATTTTTTTCTTTAAGTTTTGAACCATAGTATGCAAAACTTCATTGTTTGGGATGAATTTTCATGCATATCACTTTCGGTTCTATTAAGGACTTCTTTTAAAGAATATGGTTGAGACAAATTAGATCTTTTTTCTTCTGAATTTATCTCTAAATATTGTTCAATAGCTTTTCTTTTAGAAATTGGATCTTGAATTTTATCTATAAAATCAAAAATAAAATTTTGTGACTTAGTCAAAATATTTATACTTAATCCATTCATAACTAAAATAGCTTTATAATAGTCATTATCTGCTTTATAGTGTGAAGAGCAAGTTTTATCTTGTTTTACAAAATCTTTGTCTTAAGATGAATCACTAATTTCATTAATATTGTTATCTTCAGACGATAAACTATCAGGATATTCATCAAACTCACTTTTTGAGTTTAGTACATTTTTAAAGATTTTTTCTTTAAGGTCTTCAGCATTAATTAATTTGTTGTTTAGTTGAACATTTTGAAGCAATATAACATTCCTTTTCGCACTTAAAACATTTAAGAAAATATTTTTTGTCCTTTTATTTGGCCTTTTTAGTGGGTTTGTTAGTTTTCTATTGTTCCTTACCATAACTTATTCTATAGAATTTTTGACATTTTTTATAAGATTTAGAATAAGTTTTTCTAGAAACTTTATCTTTTGGAATCTCAAGATTTTAAGCAAATTGATTACAAAATTTTTCAAGTTCTTAGTCTTTGTCTCTTAAGTTGAGTTTTAAGATTTAAATCATTACAAAGAGCTAATCCTTCCGAAATATATTCAGATATTAGTTCTCCATATGTATAATTCTCATAAGGGATTTTAAATCTTTCATGTCTTTGTTTTAAACGAATTCTTATTTTTTCAGCAAATAAACTAGGTAATTCTGATATAAATTTTTTTTTCTAAAATTCATTATCAGCGTCAGGACGTAATAAAACTTTAGCAAAAAATACATTTTATACCACCTAAAATGTGTTAAGGTGGGACATCTTAAATTCATTAAAAATTCTTTACTTTTATCAGTACTTTGAAAGCTAGTTCCAACAAAATGTTTTAATATAGATTGGATTAATGTATATATAGCATCTTCTTGAGTATTTTTTTCTCCCATCTTCTACAGGTGTTATCTTGATTGCATTTAAAATTTCATTTATTTGAATTTGATTTAAATAGGTATTCCACCAGCCTCTTAATTGGCTAGTAAATCCTGCTGTGATGAATTTAGCAGTAGCATGATCAGAATTACGATTAGCTCGACATATTGATGCGTACATTAGACCTTTATGTAAAACTTGATAAATTACATATTCAGACATACCATCAATATTCCATTCATAAATTGAAGAAGTATCATATTCTTGTTAATCAATAAAAAAGTTTTCTTCATATGAAATATCTTGAGGGGTAGTCCTCTGATAATAAGTCCTTATTGGAGGAGCTTGTGCATATATATTAGGTTGAGATTTGGTTTAGAATATCTAATTTTATTTATTTCTTCAGACTGCATTTGGTATAAAAAAATTTCAAAGTGTTGAATTTCAATTTCAGATTACTCTACACCTTTTGTTTTAGAAATTACATTTAATGTTAATCCTTTTAATTTATCTTTTAGTACATTTATGAACTCATCTTCTACTTTATTATGAAGATTAAAGTTAGAAGTGTCAACTGGTGGTTTGATATTGACTTGTTCAAAAATATTTTCCTTGAAGAATTGTGAAGATGACACTGGCTGTGAATTTATTAAATTCTCAATTTTAGTGAGATGTTAATATATAGCTTGAAGACAAACATTGGTATAATTGTTTTGTTTTATAGAAACAGTGTTGCATGTATAACAAGCATTGATAAAAATTTCTTCAGAGTTATTTAAGGGTAATTTAATTGGTTCAGTTGTTGAGGGATTAAAACTATTTATAGTTTTTCCATAAAGTGTTTCCCATTTATACTAGAAGATTTCTAAAACATTTAAATGTTCAATAGTAGGAGGAACATAATAAGTTAAAAATCAATTAACAAAAAGAATTATCCTTCTTTCCCTTTTTATATAAAGGTAAAACATTTCTTTATAATTTTGAAGTTCTTCTAAATTCATAGTTTTAAAAAATCAATTTATGAATTTTTCATATTGAGGAAGATAAAATTCTTTATTATAGGTTTATTTATCATCTGGAATTCTCTTGGGTGGAAATATATAAAAACTATAGTTGGAATCCGATTTTGGATGGGGTTGGATCATAATCTTCTTCTAGAGAAGATTCATTAGCTAGACAATATATACCATGTGAAATATTATTTATTGAAATTTTAATTCCTTCAGTTATGGGTTCTTTATCTCTTCTTTGATTTTGGACTGAAGAAGTAGATTTTTTTAAAGGTGCAAAATAGCATGATGAAGTTTCTGATTTATCAGAAGAGTTTAAATAATTTCTAGAATTTATTCTAGCAAATTTTATGGTAACATTACTCTGAGATGATTGGGCGATCTGAGTCAGAAATTTTATTTATTTATTTATGATTTTTTAGGGACCACATACTCCAATTGTCAGGTGTTTGAAAACTGGATTTCTGACTATTTAATAATTTTTGGGACTTCAATTTTATTTTTAACCGTATTGGTTTCAATTAAAGTGGTTTGACCTTTAAGGTTCAAAAGTTTAGCTTCAGGACATAACGTATTTATAACTTTATAATAGACCCTATAAGTAAACACAATTATATCTATGTCTTCTTTATAATTGTAACCAAAAGTTTTAATATTGCATGTTAAAACATCCAAAATATTTTTATCTGTCAAATATACAAAAAGATTAGGAAACAATTAAAATAAACTGGACCAGTACTTAAGCTAGATTGCATAACACCTATTAAATACTGAACAAAATCAATATATCTAGCATCTCGTAGTGCTAACATAAAAGAGACATTTAATCCTTAAAGATTTAAAGGTTTTAAAGTAACTTGAACTAATCCAATATGTAAAAATTTATAGTTATCTTGAGCCTTTAAGACTTCTCGTTCAGTTAACAGTTGTAAAATATCTCTGTACTGATTAAAAGGAACAATCATTTCAATTGTTTTTAATAGTTAAACTCGATTTAAAATCAAAGTACCAATATTATTGATTTTCTTAGTGAAGTACTGAGGTATATCCCAGTTCTACAATTTATTTTCAATATCAAAGAATTCTATCTCTTCCATATTTTTAACATAATCATCTTTATGATTAAATTTAAATTTAAATAGGTTTAAAGTCATAGTGGTATCAAATGTTGTTCTGTTGACCTATATGTATCACTATTACCTTCTTTGAGTTGCTACTGTAATTCGTCTTTTAATTCTATTATAGTACTACTATTGTGACTTTTGCTACAATAATCCTGGTATAATAATATTCTTAGCTTTATATTATTGGCAAAATCCTGTTGTAATGATAATTTCCACTATCCTATTTTCTGCAATCAATCATGCCGACGCTCGAATGGAATAAAAATAGCCTAACACTCCTATCCACGAAAAAACAGCTTAAACCTTCCTTAATACGCGACCATGAAAACAAAACAATGGGGAACAACAAAGAAATATCATCATAACAAAATTTTAACAAACAACAAAAGCTCCAAGAAATATTATTATAATATGATTAAATTTAAAATTTTATAATAACAGTAGTTTAACGGAATTAAATAACAATTACATAAAAAACAAGAATTAGTAATAGATCTGCATATAAATCAACAAAATAAACTTAAGCTACCATTCAACAAAATAAACAGAATAAATCAACAATATATATATATATATATATTTGGCTATATGCTATTCAGAATTACGTGACTATTCTCTCGAATTCAGCGACTGATAACTTTTGCTTGAATTAATCTAAAGCAAGTCTCTAAAAAACATCTTTGGGTGACTAGCTCCTAAGTAAGGTGGTCTAGTGGTGATATTGACTTTACTCCTCACTAAAGAGGTTGGGAGTTCGAGTCCTAAAGTCCCCATTAGGATTCAGTAGTTGGTCGCTATACTAGCCTAATTAAGTGTAGTTCTGAGAAATGTTTCAGGGGCGGTCAGGGACTTTATGATCCCGCCGGTGTAGGCCTAACAAGGTAGTCGTTGAACATCCTTTCTTACCCTCACCCATTTTTTTAACCAGCAAAAAAAAAATGTGACTAGCTCCTAAGGGGGTGTAAAAAAAATTAAACTTGAGACTTTTAGGTTATCAAATGACAAGCTCAACCACTAAACCGTCTTTAAAGGTTAAATATTGTGCTTAATTGTGTGTGAGAAAAAGGTTCAAATCCCATCTTTTTTCGTTGGACTGCAGAAACCATTTTAACCATCATCTCGTTCAACTTAAAACAATGGCACAATTTTTTAATATGCTCAACCATAAACTCATCACATATGTTGTTCAGTACAAAAAAAGAAACAAAATGGGGGTAGCAATTGGGATTTTTTTTTTTTTTTTTTGCAACAGAAATTTAACCACCAAAGTTCCTTTCTTTTTGAATTTATGGGGAGAATGAAAAAAAAAAAAAAAGACAAAAAGGAAAAAAAGTAAACAACTTAAATACTCCAGATTGTGTTGAGCATAGGACTGGGCTTCAATATGGAGGCATGAAATGTAGCAGACCCTTATGGGAGTAGACTAAAACTGGTCCATGACATGACAATCCTCATCTTCTTCCCTTCAGAAAATTTGAAATCCTGATACCTTATCCAAACTAGGCAAGGCCACCACTACAATACCTCACCCTCTTTGGCGAACCCATGTCTTCTTTTCAGACAAAAGCTCCCACTCCTGTCTCTACTTTCTCTCTCTACCACCCAAGATGTCTATGGCAGTTCAACCTGGTGTTAGTGGTTCTTTTACATGCCCCTCCTTTCCTCATCAGAAACCCTGTTTCAGGCTCTTCAATCCCTCAATCCCTCTGAAGCAAAAAGCCATTAGTCCACTTTCACCCACCATTCTTGAGCTTAAAAGCAGACACATTAAAAGAATTCAAACATTGTCTGCTTCAGCAGCCATAGAAGCAGTTGAAGCAGAAACACCCACTGAGGATTCTACCTCTGCACCCCCACAGGACACTGACACTTCCCAGGAAACGAAGGTCCAAAACTCTCTCTCCCTCCTCCCCACTTGTGTGTGTGTGTGGATGCACCCATAAAATAGAGGTATTCTTTTGTTTTGCCTGTTTCATGGATTAGTATACGGGTAAATTGCAATTCATTTAGTCAAGTTACAGAATATTATATACAGTTTGATAGGGTGAAGTTGCTTCTTAGATCAATATCAAACATTCATTTTGTCATAAACTCACCATATTGATTCAGAATCTCACCAAATTGAATTGTAACCTCAGTTATTTCATGCTAATTTTCGGTCCGATACCTGAAAGTAAGTTTCCGATGTGAATTCTCAATTTGTGCAGAAGCTTGAAGTGGTGGTTAAGACAGTGGAGAAGCCAAGGCTGGTGTTGAAGTTCATATGGATGGAGAAGAACATTGGTTTGGCCCTGGATCAAAGGATACCAGGCCATGGCACCATTCCTTTGAGTCCATACTTCTTTTGGCCTCGGAAAGATGCATGGGAAGAGCTCAAAGTTACTCTAGAGAGTAAGCCATGGATTTCCCAGAAGAAGATGATTATACTCCTTAATCAGGCCACTGATATCATCAATTTGTGGCAACAAAGTGGTGGCAATTTGTCCTAAATAGAGAATGCAGAGTAGATGTTTACTCTGTATTTTTGTATTTCAGTTGTAATGTTGTGCTTTTGGGGTGTGAAACTTGGGGTTTGCATAGGTCTTGTTCCATCAAATATGATCAAAGTTTTTATTCATTTTACTCTGATTGTCATTAGTCACTAGTAGGAGATTTCAAATTATCAAACACTAATAGTGGATTTTAGTCAATATTGGCCGCAATGCATTAGATCTTCAATTATATTTCAGTTGCATTCATTTGTTCATACAATTATTGCTCTCATCTTGCCTTCTCAATTTTCTATCGACCTCTTCAAGTGCAACAGGGGGTGCGATTGAGGGTCACACGAGTAGGGAGGTGAGAAAGAGTTCTTCCCACGTCAGTTTATTCATCGTCAATTTTGAGTTGAATGATTTCACATTTTACAGTGTACAACTCCACTTCATAAGATTGGTTCCTCAATGAGTTCCTGTCTTTCAGCTTTGAATTGTTCCGCATACGGTGAATAGAAGATATCAGTCAACAAGATACAATCAAGAGTTTATCTAGAGCCCTTTGCAATAAACCTCTTTAAGAATTCTTAACACCACCCACAAATGCATTGGTTTATGCAGTTTTTTTTTGCCATTGCTCACGCTTGTTCTGCAACTGGTCATAAACAAACCACAAGAGTAAAGAAAAAAATGAGCTATTATTCTTCTAAATACAAACCATTTAAATAGGCAAAAACATGAAGAATTCAGTTACAAAATCTTAGTTGAAAACGTACATGGCTAGATCTCCTCCTCAATATTAAAAGAAAGAAGGTATGCAACTAAGCCAACTACTGGGACAAATCTAAGAACGTTTACTGCATCAACCTTGTCTTTCTGAACATTTTGTATGTTATCTCCTATCAACCAGGGCTGGAAAATTATGTAGAGACAAATATCCCAAATGAAGGCATAAGCGAGTCTTTCAGATCGTAGATAACTCATCAAGAACTCCCATCTCTCTGAGATACTCCCAAAGTTATTGTCCGCTCGGCCAAAGAGGGCCCACAATGTCGATATCAGACATACAGCACCACCAATCAGTCCAACAACAGGTGCACCATTTGTCATAAACAACCCCAGTTGAGAGGTCTTTCTTGGAGTGTATTCCGCATCAGCCTCATTTAGCCGGATAGCCATGTAAGGTATTAAAAATGCTGCATCATATAAAATGAAGTTGGTCAGTGGCAAATTTTAATTAAACTAACTCAAACTGTCAATGGAAGGGGAAAAAAGTGACAAAGGGATAACGGTCAAAATGAAGCTATGAACATTAAGCAAAATGCTTCAAAGGATGTCTCATCATACAAGGAGATGTGAACCATCAACAATTATGGTAATTGGATGCAAGGGTAAATCACTACCAAGGTATGTTTTTGTAACCTTATTCAAGCTCACAGCATCAATTGAAAATCTTCCCCACAATGGAAGAGGGGCAACTGCAGAAATTGCTTCCTTGATTTTAGAGATAAAAAAGTACAAGTGAAAAATAATTCCTACTTTGCTTGCTGATTTGATTATGAAAATAGATGACATTTTAAAATAATAAAGTGAATATTGTTAAAGAGGTTTGACAAATAACACCATAAATTGTTTTGCAGGATAATGAGTTTCTTGATTCCGACGGCCGGCATAGATCTCATGAGACCCACCCACTATTACTACGAAAAAAACCCGCCCCTAAAAATCTTCTGGGTTCATACCTTCCAAGCAATTTCATCATAGCAAGCATCTTATCCAATCAACCATTATCCCACGCATCAATCTAAATAGATATACAAAACCTTGGGCACATTATCCAAACAAAAAATTTTCATCCCAAGACTTCTTGCCATTCTAGCCAAGCATAGCACTAAGTCCATCATCATGAGAACATCAATAAAATTTCACTATCAGTCAAGTATGATAGTTAAGTGGAAAGCATACTGTTTGTGAGGAACATTTGGAAGCCCCATAGAAGATCTAGAGATCCCTTATATCTGTCTCTCTTTCTATCAGTGAATAGCAAAGGAGCAAACATGAATGTCCACCCAATAACAAAATTGAATAATCCTTCAGACATCTGGTGGAGAGAAAATAGACCAATGTCAAGATTGAGCTTGAAATCAACAAACAGGAGCTGAAATGAGTTCTTGGCAATTTACTTCAACAAATAATCCTTACCGGATGAAGTACTGGTGCATCCAATAGATGAATGCCAACTACTCTGCCAAAGGGTTCATCACACATGTAATCAAGGATACTATAACCAGGTTTGCTGGGAGAAAAAAAAATGACAACTACAGGATATATCCATCATCAGCATGCAAATTAGGGTGTTCTAAAATTGGTGATTACTGATCGGTAAATGTATCAAAGAACAACTGAAGCACCAAGATAACAAAGGAGAAATTTTTCTAAACTGAAAATCAAAACAAATGCTTTTTCAATGTAGTATATTTTCAAATTTGACAATCTTTAAAATCCTACATGAATATCACCCCCCAGAAACATTGCAGTTTGATGGGATTTAAGCATCAAGCTGCCAAAGACACCTGGTGTGGCATGTTGATGTATATAGTAAAATAAACTGAAGTTTGGAGAAAATTTTTCTGAACAAAATGGAATTGTGAATGGATCGAGATAGAAAAACATAGAAACTTGCAGTAACTAACTAGCCACTAAGAAGATGAAGATGATGATAAACTTTCTTTGCTTGAACACCGACGATAAACTAAAAAAGTACAAATGAACTTCAAGTACCGTATGTCACGATATTAGAACAACCAATTCTACTGCTACAGCTTCTATAAGACATTTTATTTTCCCAAATTTCTCCAGAGAATCAACAGTGGTTTAACTCATATTTTTTAGGCACCCTTAATCCTACGTAACACCGGAAAGATCTAATTGTGTAATTGCTAATGCCTTACAACCAAGGATCAAAATTTCGTCTCGGTGTATTGTTTTCGTCACCTAGGAAACGGAAACGTTTTGACGTGTTTCGAAAATATTTCGACCCGTTTCGGAAATGTGATGAAAAAAATAAAAAAATTAAGAATATATTTTCATAACATTGTTCGAAAAATATCAAAATATTTGAAATACCTTGAAACATTCCGAAACAATTGCGCAAAATGCATCAAAATATTATAATTTCGATTTTATCACTGTTTTGTTTCGGTCTCCTTGGAAACGGAAATGTTTCGGACGTTTCGAAACGAAATTTTGATCTTTACTTACACTATTAGATCCTGGAAAGCTGTGGACTTATTACAGAATATGACTCCAAAAAACATGACCTCTCTTAGATTTACAAAAAAGAACAAAAGCTGAATGCAGAAATGATATGCAACAGACAACCTCAAGTAATTGGGTAAATGTATTTCTAAGTTGAGTTGTGAATTGTTGTCAGAAGCACAAAAAAAATGTTTTTCTCCCTGCTTCAAATATACTTGTAAACAAGAACAAAGTTAAATGCACGCGCGGGGGAGTGTGTGTGTGTGAGAGAGAGAGAGAGGATTCAGGGGTCTAATAAGGAAACATGTGAAGCCATTTCTTGAAATGCTGATGTAGCATGTGCCAATACATTTGATGTATACTTGTTTCAAATGCTTTACAAAAGAAATAAGGGTATGCAAATTGCACATATCAAATGATTCTCAAGCAAATAACAGAAAAATTTATCCTACACTTGGTAACAACATGCCTCCTCACCCACTACAATAGGATTGGCTATGACTTGCAAGAAAAACAGGTGCCACAACCAAATCAAAGAAATGTTTTTAATTTTTTATTAGCTTCACATACAACCACTAATAATACCCTCACATGACCCCCATTTTGTTACAAAAAAAAGTCTCTGCACAATAAAGTGCCACTAAATTAAAAACATAACCTCCTTGAAAAATACATATACAATAAAGAATAATTTCCATTGCATATAGATTATTAGAATTTGTACTTCATAGGCAAAATTACAGATTCATTTCATCAGCACCAATGGATTGGTTCAAAAAGTTCACTGCTAACACATACATCAATGGTATCGTATAAAGGGGATAATTGTGAACTCGTTTGATCACTAGTGAGCTTCAATGGTATCTCCTACCACCCCCAAAAGGTGAGGTGCATGGTTCAAATATAAGTTGTGACGGTGAGGCTGCATGTAGTAAATAAAAGGTAGAACTTCATAGAAGATAAGCTAATGAACATCAAGTCCACGAAGTAAGCACACAATTCAACGTACCAGAGTTCATGAATGGCAGAATTAAGAAAAAATTAAGAGAAAGGCCCACTAGAGAATTGATTGTGTCCGAACTAATGGCCCACACAGGATCCCCCTGCATCACATACAAGGAAACTTAGATTCAAGTAGTAACCAATTCCCTTCACATAGAGCCGGCTGCAACAAACCACAATCTATGCTTGATTAGCAAGCAACCCCTGCTTCTTACAAATCAGAACAGCAAATGCTGCACTGGAAGAGCCTTAGAGGTACTTTTTAAAAACATAACAAAAATCAAGCTAGATAAGACCATTGAATATTTAAAGTTGATTATCAAAGAGATGCTGACAAATAGTTCTATCAATATCTTCTGTCTAATTTCATAGAATCTTCAGAGACAACAAGGAACCTTGAAATGGAGACTTGAGAATTTCATACTTAAGCACGCAAATAGCACCAAAGAAGGAAAAATTGCGAGTTCAGAGTACTAACATGGCAGATTATATAATGGTCTTTACTCAATAGATGAGGCCAAATTTGAGTGTGTTTTCTTTTTATATTTCTTTCTTTTCCATGGTATTAAGGAAACCTTAGGATGTTCCATCGTCATATTCATAAAAGGGTCATATCCGAACCATCTAACAAAGTTATTCAATCGATGAAAAATCAAGTTGCTGCCATTCGAATTCCATGCAAAACACTCCAAATTCTTCCTGCACTAATTGAAACTTCATATCCACATGGGAACAAGATCATCAATATAAAACAAGAACAACATTGAAAATGAATAATTTTACGTACAGGGGCATAGGGAAGCAAGAAGAGCCACAAGATGTAGATTCCCTCAGTAACCCACAAAGTAATCTGAACTACTCTCCGTACATTCTCATTAATTTCCGGGGTCGTGGTGCTAATAGCACTGTCATTGATTTTGGTATTGGTTGAGGATTTCCTGGGGGTCGCCTTACAAACAAGAAGATCACCCATTTTGAGTCTCTTCTTCTCGACTCGTCTGTAACGCCGTGACTGAGGTTTTGAACAGAAGGACTTGGTTGTTGGGACAAATGAGCTGTACTTGTTCTTGTTGGGGCACACTAGTAGCAGTGTTGGGCATGTGGTCACCGACGCCATCTCCAATTTACCGCCGGTGACCGGGGGTTCTCGGTTACAGGTTTGGTGGCGCACTGAGTTCTGCGGTGCACTATAGTTCGTGGTTTGCGTGGGTAGCGGTGGAGAAAATGGGCCACGTGGTGCGTGGGGATTCAAGTGTTTTGCTGGATTCGCCCTTTATTCGGCAACAAATGAATTCTTTACGACGAAATGACAACGTTTAGACATCCAAAAGTTCGTGAACATGACGTCTTCTTAATCTGTAGTCTTCACCAGTGAGACGGCGTCGTTTGAAATATACAAAAATTTTATTTATCTTATTATACATTTAATTTATTAAAAATATTATAATGTGACCGTTCCACTGACCTTGACTAAAAAAATTAAAAATATTATAATGTGACTGTTCCATTAATTTCAGTTGCTTATTCCTTAAAAATTCACACCATTGACCTTGACAATGTCCTGTTTGGTAGGGATGATAGAAAGTAGGAAATATACAATTTTTATTCTTTAAGGGTACACTTTCTCTCATTTGTCTTTGGTTAGATGGATAAAAAATAAAAATGACTATATATCTTTTTTTTTACTGGTTAAGATTAAGGGTGACAATAAAGTTGAGTCGTGTCGTGTTAGATTCGTAGTGAGTCATTACAAGTATATGTCGAATATTAGTCAAATCTAACTTAACTCATTTAACTAATTGTGTCGTGTCGAGTTGCGAGTTGACTTATTTATTTTTGTATCGCGTTCGAGCCGAGTCATCGTGTTGAATCGAAAATTTTCACCCTTAAAAATATTTTTTTTTAACTTAAAATTTTTAATTTTTTTATTTTTTTAAAAGTTTTCTTTATTTTTTTTAAATTAATTTTTAAAATATATATACATATTTTACCATTGTATTTTTATATGAAATTAATATATACATAAAATATATACATTTCAACACAAATAATTAACTTTTCATCCACTTTCCTTCCGATTTTGGAGGGATTAATTTTGGTAAGTTGAAAAGAAAGTTAATTCATCTACTTTTTCATTCTTCCTACTTTCTTTCCTTACCAAATATAATGATTTATTTATCCTTCTAATTTTTCATCCTCCCACTTTTTTATCGTACCAAACGGAGCATAAATAAAAAATAAAAACTAATAGAGAGGCTACGTTGTAAAACGTTTTATATATTATACGTATAATGTAAAAAACTTTGATTTTTAAAGGTATAAAGTAAAATTTTTAAAATTTTTGGCGTAAAAAATGTGATTCACTCATTTCCAAAAAGCATCTACTCCTACTATTTAGGGATCGGATTGAACCAGAAATTTTTTTTTTGAAGAAATTTCCCGCGCTCCTGGTCTTCTTCGGCAAGCTCAGATCCATGGCCCCCAAGTCCGACAGTACGGAAGGTTAATCTCTCTCTCTCTCACACACACACACACACACACACTCACACGGTCGCACAAATATGTAAGAATTCACGAACTGAGTTTGTCGATTCCATATTTTAAGTAGAAAATAATACCTTCTCGATTGCAGGTATCGTGCTCAACTTCGTCAATGAGGTGAATCATTTGTCGAATATTCTACTGATTCTATCGTATGCGGGTTGTACTTGCTTATATGTTTTTTTTTGACGAGTAAATAGTGAAAGAGAAATGAAAACTCGGAATTTCAATAGTGGCTGTGGATTGATGAAGCGGATCTGGAATTCCATGTTTGATTTCTTCTCGTATAGATTTTTTATTTTGATGTATTAAACCACCTATTTGTATTAGCTTCAGCTTTAGGAATACGATATGACCCACCGTCTATCGATGGAGGACACTCTGAAATCTGAATACAAGGGGTCTATCTTTAAGTTGTATTGGATGGTGGGATTGGAGAGAATTGGGTAGATTTTAGAATTGGAGAGTTGCCACCTTCTCAGTTGAGTGCTTTAGTTTCCTTGGATCCCAAATGAAGTAAATGGAAATATGAAACTTCACATTATGAATTTTTTACTTTCCAGCATTTTTTCATAATCTAACTAAGGGAACAGAGTATGAACTATAAAAGAATGCTGTTCTTGTGCCGGGATGATGTTTATCCATCCTTCCCCTTTTATCTCAAATTGAAAATTTAGGGTTCTAGGATTCTGACAAATAAGTGCAATGCCATGTTAAACATTCTCTCAACATATGACAGAGACATACCTGAATAATCACTTTTTAAGTACTTGTACCTGCTTCAAACAAAATACGTAAAGATTAAGGAAATGGTTTTCGGATTGCAAGTATCACATTCTTGTCCTGCAGTATCTTGCAAATGAAATGTGCCATCTTTCAACCCGTTAGGTTTGAGGTGCAAATATCACATTCACCTCAATCATGTTTTGTAGTTCTGTTGACCTCAGTTCAGCAGTGGCCTTTGAGTTTGTCGGATACTTAGAAATGAAACATGTGAGATTCAAAATTTAGGTTTCTCAATTTTTGGATGTTGTTTCATGAAGCAAGTATGGTTAAAGGAAATTAAAGTAGAAATGAGGGTGTTCCATGTGAAGTTGTTGTTTTGAACAATTTATTTCCTTTCCAGGTGTTCATTTTATCTGCCATTGATACACAAATATTGGGCGTCTTTGTACGGTGCAATGGGTGCCTCAAACCTTAAACTTTTAAGCTTCTTAAGAGGTCATTAAATACTTCTGTTTTGAAACAAATGGGTTATGCTCCCGAATGATTTTTCTTACTCGTAGAAGCAGCTACACAATTTGGTTGGCCCTGTTCCTGATTCTTTTCTGAGCTCTACTTCCTCTAATTTCTTCCATTGTTTCTTTTATCCAGCAAAATAGACCATTGAATTCTCAAAATGTAGCTGATTTTTTGCAAAAGTTCAACCTCAAAAAGGCTGCAATACAAAAAGCGCTGGACACTCTTGCTGATACTGGGCGGATATCTTTCAAGGAGTATGGTAAGCAGAAAATATACCTCGCTCGGCAGGATCAATTTGAGATTCCAAACAGTGAAGAACTTAATCAGATGAAGGAAGAAAATGCCAAACTACAAGAAAAGATGGATGAGCAAAAGAGGGCAATTAGTGAGGTTGAACGAGGTATCCCCCTTGAACCTTTTGTATATGTAAGCTGAATGTCACATTTATATTCTTCATTGTTGGAATTTCTCCGTGCTGGATTTTAGATTCATTGTTCTGAAGGAAGTTTCCATGAACCCCATTATGAGAAGAGGTTTGAGGCTGTCATCCATTTGCGTAATGTAATTTTCTCTGGTAGTGCAGAAATTAAAGCTTTGCAGTCAAATTTAACACTGGAAGAAATATGTGCAAAAGAAGCAAAACTGAAAAAGGAGGTATGTTTCATAGACATACCTAATCTTTTCTATCACAACAGTGTTGTCTCTGCCAGAGAACTTGGAGAAAACCACCTTGACCTTTCATTTCTTATCAGGTTAAGGACATGGAGGAGAAATTGACAAAACTGCGGATGGGTGTTACTCTGGTAAGCCCAAAGGAGAGAGAAGCTGTGGAAGGAATGTATACGGACACACTAACTCAGTGGAGAAGGCGTAAGAGGATGTTCAAAGATCTATGGGATGCTTTAACTGAAAACTCACCTAAGGATCCCAAAGAATTCAAGGTACTCTTTAACTTTTTATGTCCTCTGTGTTAGCACTTGGCTTAGCCAAATGTTGTCTCTGAATGAGTGTCTAAATTTACAGGAGGAACTTGGACTTGAATACGATGAAGATGCTGGTGTGAGTTTGCAGTCCTTTGTTGATCTAATGCAACATTGTAAGAAGCGTGCTCGGGGGCACTAACTCATTCTGGGAAGTACACATTCGATCAAGTATAGGCAAATATGTTGCTTCCTGAGGTAAATATGATGCTTACATGTGTAGTGTCTGCATTTATTTTTACGAATCTATATATGCTCCTGAATTCCAGTAAATTTTGTCTTTCCAAGAATCCAAATGGTTCCAGCTGGAAGTGTTTCTTTTGACTGCATGAAATGCCTGCTCATCTCGTTTAAATAGGGCATAGAAACAGATCACAACGTCAGGCATAAAGGCCATGAAAAGAATAAAGTACATTGGATCCAAGAGTTAGTATTTTGAACAAAGCTTAACACAACCAACCTCCTTACATGAATATACAGTTTGTATCAGATAAAGGGCAAAACCAGCTATTCAAAGGAATAACCACCACTGATGCTTAAAATATCCAAAACTTGTCCTGGAATAGCTGATTAATCTGAGTTAAGCTATAAGTACACGTTCTGGTTTGGGGGAATGCAATGAGCTTTCATGGTTTGAACAACCTTGCAGTGATTATCCTTCTACATATTACAATACTACGAAGTTTGAAAAACATGAAAAAGTACCATAATTTTAGCTCTCTGAAAGAACTTAAGATCACTCACTATCCAATTACATTATAAAATATTGCATCCTCACAAATTTTGCAATCAAAAAATAAACAAATAACCTGATTGACAGGCTCAAACTATACAATGAGAAATCAAGAAAATAAAACTAAGACGCACACTTGGCCAATACCATAACTGCAACTCACAAAACTCAAGACAACTCTCTGCTATACATGCTTGTCACTGCCTTTGTGTGCGTCTGGTTCTCACAGAGACTGGCCTGTTCTCTGCATTTAAAGGCTCTGCACTATGTATCCTGGACCCTTGAGCAACATGTTGCTTGGGGTCTCCAGGCACTGGTTCCTCCTCCAGGCCGGCTTGGGATCTTAAAGGAAAGTTCTTTTCGTGCTTAATAGTACTGGATTCTTCAGAACTCAAAACTTCAGTCGCAGAAGCATGCTTTATTCCAAAACCCAAGTCATGGGTCCTTGATAATAGGATTCTGGGTTGTTCATTTTCTGTCTCGTCGTCACTCTCATCAAAACCTGTTGTCCTCCCAAACGCCTTGCTCTGCCCCTCTAAGTCCGAAGGCAATTTAGAGCCCTTCAAAATGTTATCTGCTGAATCTGAACCTGACGAAGAAATGGATCTCTTGAACTGCAGTTCTCTTTTACCATGGTTGGCTTTTTCAGACTTATTTTTGTTATACATTTCTTCATCTTCAGATTCAGATAAAAAGTTTGGAATAGGGTATTTTTTTTCAAATCCTAATCCAACACTTATGTCACCGACTTCCTCACCAATCTGAAGCTTAGATTTCATTGGCTGATAGATGCTGGCTCCTTTCCTTTGCAGCGTATTGGGACTATGGGAATCATCAGGATCATGTGATCGAGACCGAGAGAGTTCCACAGCTGCTCTTGCGGCTGCTGCTGCATAAGCTGCTGATTCAAATGCTGCTTGAGCAGCATCAGCTACATCCCTGAACTTTTTTCTCGCTTCCATTGAATTTGAGAAACCATCAACTCTTACAAGCTCTTCAGGAGATATTGGTAAATTGTCGTCGAGTTTAGCACTGATAGAATGAGTTGATGGGTCTAACTTAGGCTGATCCTGCTTCTGTTCTGTGTCTGATTTCTCCAGCAACTATCACACAAGGATCAACTTTACATTAGTTGATGTTTAATATCTACACAGAACAATAGTATTGGTACTGTTGCAATTCCTGATGTTAAAACAACTGACATACCTCTGTGGTTACTGGAGAAACTTCCTCAATTTGCAGAACGATGTTGTTCTCAGAAGCAATTTCATTGAGCACCTTCAATCTGTTCTCCAAGCTTGGCGTTCTGGTTGACAATTTCTGTATCATCTATATAGAAGACTCATGTGACAACTAACATCCTTGTTATATATACTGACATCCAGTGTTAAAGTGGTAGATTAAGGAGGATTAGTTCTTGAATCTTACACAAATAAGAGACCGGTTTGCTCAAGTGTCAAACATGAATAAAACTTGATTATAATGTGACAAACTCGTAAAATAATATCATACAGAGAGCATCCTTCATTTTTTAGCATTTGAATCAAAGGTCAGTTTATAGAGGGTGTATGAGTGGTAGGTTTAGTGGAGAGAAAATGAGATCCTAGTATTAAGACAGTTCACCAATTATGAATGTCTACATAAATGTGATACTAGGCATGTCACAAGTTATGTTAGGATTGACCGAGAAGAAAATGTTAGTCAATGTAACATACGACAGCACCCTACACATTGCAATATTGCAGTCACCTTAGGATTCACTCCACAATTGTTGCGTAATTCAATTGCACGGGTTGCAAATTCCTTTCCAAAACGAGAAGTGAAAATCGCCCGAATCTTTGGAAGCTCTGGGAACTCCCCACATCTCGTGGATGCATAAATCAAGCTTGATATAGCCTCCTTCAATTCATCAGGACAAACCCTATTGTAAGAACAAAACCCCATCAACAAATACAAAAACCGAAAGAAACCCAAGGAGAAATCAAAACCCTATAAATGTAGGAGGGCACATTAAAAGAAAAAAAAAAAGAAAAGACTAACTTTTCGTGTTCAATAAGGTTGACCCTCTCTATCAACACTAGACAATAGCCTTCTACCATAACAAACACATCTACCATGTTCTGCTCCTTGATCACTTGTTCAACCTGTCAAAACCACCATTACAACACCAAAAAAGAAATAAAAACCCAAAGAGTCGTCAATGGGATATTTTATAAAACAGGGGTCTAATGTTTTTGTTTGGTATGATAAAAAAATGAAAAATTAAAAAGAGAAATAAATGGAGTAGCCTTCATTCCAACTCAAAATTTATTGTTAGATAAAAAATTAATTATGTATATTGAAATGTATATTATTTAACTTTCTATCCTTTAATAGATATATACACCATATTTATTTATTGCATAGTGTCCTCTTAAAGAAGGAATACCCAACTTCTGGGGTAAATTGACTCACGATTTTACACTAAAAAATGTAGTTTCATAATCCAACTATCCTCCTATTCCGTTAGGGGAGAGAACTACTAAATCAAAGTAGCTTTGGCAAAATTTCCCAAAAAAAGAAGCCCTGGTTCCAAAAGTAATAAATGATTTTAATTTATGGATCGAGTTCTCGGATGTCATGCCACCCTAACTATTGAGAGCTCTTCCTCCCTGAAGGGCTATTGATCAACACATTATATACACATTAATTTTATATATAAATCTATATAATAAAGTAGTTTACGATTCAAATTTTAAAAGATAAATAAAATAAATTTTATTTTTTACGGTTCAGATCGTTTTAAATTTTTCTTTAACGCTAATCTAACGGTTAATATTAACACCTTAAATTTAATAGAAAAAATAGGTGCCTAAGGTGTGTTTGGAGTGATTTTTTAAAAATATTTTTACGAATTATTTTTCATAAATACTTTTAAAAAAATAGTGTTTGAAACCGCCCCACCATTGCTGCCATCGTTGCCATCACCACCACCATCGCCATCGTCGTCACCGTTGTCGCTGCCGTCGTCGCAGTCGTCGTCGGCACCACCACCACCATCGCTATCACAATCATTGCCACCCACCTTAACCATCACCGTCTTTTATTATCACCATTGCCACCCACCACTTCTCACCTCCACTATAAAACGATGTTTAAATTTATTTATTTCTTCTCTATGTTTGTGATTTGAATTTGAATATAAATACAAATATATTTATTATTTACCATTTTTTATTACTATGTCTTGCAATAACTAATAACAATAAAATACATATTTATATGTTTTTATCCTTTCACTTTTTTATCCAATCACATACAAAAAAAAAAATAATTCTTTCTATTTTTCATCTCTCTTGCAAAAATATAAATAAATATATAAATATAAATAAATAAATAAATAAATAAATAAATATATATATATATATATATATATATATATATATATATATATATATATATATATATATATATATATTATTCAATAGAAAGTGTATCATGTTAAAAATAATAGACATTCATTAATCCCAAAATTCCAATGATCAGTGGACGGAACGGGGAAGAGCGTGAGTTTTATTACAGGTAAATCTGATTGCCTAAGATTAAAATTTTCAATTACTGATTAAATACAAGTTGTAACTCTATTGGAATTCTATCGAAATTCTTTTTCTTATAATGAAAAAGAGTTGTTTCGTGGACGTAGATAAAATTATATATATTATTTTTATTTTTTGGATTGAACAACACCAAAGAAAAGAAAAAATTACCCGTAGGAGAGCTCTTTCATGGTGGCCAAGGTTGAGGAGTTGAAGAACGTCAGACCTGGCCAGGGAGCAGCGGGTCTGACGCTGGTTCTTGAGGACGGAAAGTCGAGAAATGGCAAGGTTGACAGTGGCTTTAAGTTTTGTGGTCTTGAATTTTCTTCCTAACAGAGCATCAAGCTTCTTTCCCATGCCCAGACTTAACTTGGTTGTCGATGAGTGTCTGAGAGAGAGAGAGAGTAGTGAAATTTGAAGAGGTGGGTGTGTTTGTAGAGAGCTTTGCATTATTATGTGATGACCATGAAGGAGGGGTTACGTATGCATGTACGTGTCTTGTGCTGATAAATGACTGTTTCCTGCTAGGGTTGGGTGTCATGGTTACACTATGTCACAATGTTATACTAGGATATTATTATCAATATCATGTGAAGTTATAATTATATTCAATATTTTTTCTAGTTTGACCAGAAATTTAGGTAATTAATTTAATATAATTATTAGATTAATTATGAATTTTAAAGTTATATGGAGCACACTTTAAATCAAATGATTGCATTCAATTAAGTTGTTAAATTATGTCAAAATAGTATTTTTCTAATTTTATTCATTAACCCAGATGCAGCAGCACAAATCTAGCAACAATCTTTTACTTGTTATCGCATGAAGAAACCAAACAATTTTACTATTCATAATTACATATATTCGAAAGAAACTAAAATGACACGATACTACTAAATTACACGACGGGAACATAACAACTGTGTGTGTGTGTGAGAGAGAGAGAGAGAGAGGTTGTAAAGTAAACGTGTGAGAGGTTTTCCTTACAAATTAAGTCTGGGAAGAAGATTGTCCAGGTGAGAATGAGGTTTCAAAGACGGTTGGTTGGTATGTCAATTATCGAGAAACTAATGCCATTACACCCAAAGCGGAGCAATTAGCAGATGTGAACGAAGTTGTAACCCTGAGGCAGATTTTCATGAGCTTTTCTACCTTATCAAATTTTTCTGTCAATTTTTATTTTCTCAAAAAATTTATTATTATTATTATTATCTACATAATAATGTGGTATACTGATATCAACAAATATTAAGTTTAGATTTTGGTTTAGTTTATTTCAAATTTTAGTCTAAACTATAAAATTATAAAACTTTATAGATTGGATTAAAAAAAAAAAAAGATTTGCCACTTCATATTAGGATACTTTTAAAAATATACAAGAATTAGATTTCGACCAACTCTGAAACTCTGGATTTCCTCTTTTTATGAGAGGAAATAAAACTGAAACTTTTTTAAAGAAAGAATGAAAGAACTGCGCCCAAGTTGATTCTTTTGTTAAATTTCACATCAAAAAATAAATTTGTCGGGAGTGGCCCAACAGTATGAAAAATAAATTCTGGGTTTTAAGCTCCAAATTTTTAGAAACTCTATAATTTTAGATATGCTATTAACCCACAAAAAAATGTAAATCTATTAAATTTTAAAGGGAAATTCAGAGGCCGGTCTCTCTATATTGACTTGTTTGGACTTAAGTTCGTCAAAGAAACTTATTTGTTATGAAGTCTGTTTTTTGTCAATTTTATTAAACTATCATTTTACTTTAAAAGTAAAATAAAACTAAGAATTAAAATCTCGTAAATCTTAGGAGTTTGACTAACATTAAAAAATTTTCTCTCTCATATCTATCTATTTCCATATATAAATTAGGAATATATATATAGTAACATTAAAAATAAAAAATAGTAACATTCAAATACAAAAAAATTATCATTTAGACACAAAAAATAATACCATTTAAATACAAAAAAGGTAACATTTAAACATAAAAAAATAGTAACATTTAATATTAATATTTTAAAAAAATAACAATAGTAACATACTTAACAAAAACAATAACATGTTTAAAAGTAATTATCTCTCTCAAATTTAAACACAAAAATAGTAATATTCAAAAACAAAAATAAAAATGGTAATATTGAATATTAATATTTAGGAAAATAATAGTAATAACATAAAACATTTAATTTAACAAATCAATACTAATTCAATAAAGCACGAATAGTAAAATAAAAAAATACACTTAGAACCTAATTTCAAAAACAAAATAATAAAAAAAAAAACTCCCGTAAAGAACAGAACGTCGCAATACCACTGAGGGTCGAGTTTGTGCCCTTTAGTGGATTTGGTCATGGGCATGGTTCGGGTTTTCATGAAATGGAAGATGAACTTGGTATGTTTGACTGGCCCAGGGAGCAAGGCAGCAAAGGTAATGGCGACAGAGTTGGTGGTAGCTGTGCTAGTGAGTGTGGGTAAGTGGCGGTGCTAATGGCAGATTGGATGGTGGTGACTGTTTTCATTGGCCGGGCCTTGCTAATTCCACTCCAAGTAAAGCTCCGACTAGTTAATATCCAAGTAAATAGGAAAAAAAAAATGGGTTTGGTTTTTGAGTTCATCTTTGAAGTAGCATTGTTGTTCGAGCAGTATATGTTTGTTTAAGTATCTTGATTCAGATTTTAAATTTGAATTTGAATTGTAATTGTTAATGAAATCTCTTGATTTGAAATTGAATTAATAGACCAATAATTTTGTTGTAATTCAAACATCATATTCGATTTTCATAAAAAACTAAATAATTTGTTACTATATTTATCTCAAACATCTAACATATGACTTTCCATAATTGATCAAATTTAACACTGCTAGGAGTATTTTTGAGATAAAAAAAAAAATAGACTTAAGTCATTACACATAATTTTAAACATAGACTTAATCCTTATAAGTTTTCTTACCGGATTTATCTCCAAACAAGTACATTTATGAGATCTCACCTCTAATTTTCACAATTTTAAACCCTAAAAAAAGTCTCAAAAAATAAAGTCCAATTAAAATTTTTATTGCAATAATTTGGGCCCATGATCTAATCCATAACATTAGAAATCTAAAAACCAGAAGATAAAAAAATTAAAAAAATATTCAAAAGTCAACTCATATGGATTCCATCCATTTTATTTCTCTCTCCCTTTCTCTCCAATAAAAAAATAAAAAAGAGAAATAAAAGTCAAAATTAAACTTTCTATCTCCAATAAAAAATAAAAATAAAGTTAAAATATTTTTTCCGATAATACTAACATCCTCTTCTTTTGTTTCTCTCTCACATAAAAAAATTTAAAAAAAAAATTTAAAAAAAAATTAATAATCAAAATAAAAAAGACCATATTTAATATTTTTGCTTTAGGCCACAAATTACTTTGAATTGCCTCTAAAATTTGCTTCCCAAAGATTCAACTTCAAACTCGAAAATTAATGAAAAACTATCGATTTAAAAGAAATTAGTTACGACTCAACCTCAACGTGAGTAAATTATGATCCAATTGGGGGTTTTCATACACAAAATACCAACCCAAAAAGTCACTTCATTCGAGTAAATGATAATATTTTATTCTTTTTTATTTTTATTTTTTGAATCAAACGAGAATTATCCAAATATGAAGGATACCACGATTCAAATTTGGTCTTTAGCTTAATAATATAATGTCAACGAGTCATGCTTAGGTGGGTTTTTTATTCACCGAGTCCCATAACAATATGAGTTTGACTCTTCTCCAATTCTAAATTGTCCTAGACAAATTCCAATTCAAAATGGTCAGCCTACTTCAATGCTATAAATTTCATCTTCTCAATTGAATTTATATGGTGAATGATTATCTTATAAATTGAAATCAAATTAGAGGCATACCATCTAAGCTTATGGTCTAATGGTAAATCGTACTTTTTTACGATTGTTATTGACTCTCATGTGTTTATCAAATAGAGTTAGATTTACGGAATCAACGCGGTTTATTGATACTATGGTGATGGTTTACCCTTCTGGGTCAGTAGTTATACCTCAAATCGAACATTCCACATTGAAGAGACTTTGATGATTACACTCAGAGGGGATTACTATCCAGTGATCGCCCTTTCTCCCTTTTCATGATCAAAAAAATAAATAAAATTAGAGCCATAATACATTCATGTCAACCTCTTTCTCTTGAGAGTTCATTTTTGGTTACCGAACTCGAACATTAGGAGAAAATCAGGAGTATCAAGTCTAGGGTAAAATGCAACGAATCATTTTAAATTAAAATCGATACTAATCTAATTGCTTTTCTTTTATTGAAATGAAATGACCCTCATCAAAACGAAATTCACTTGATCGATACATTTATACCTACTAATTCAACAAAAATTAAAAATATTCCTTCGAACCATGTGATAAAGAGATTTTATTTATACCCCCGAACTAAATTATTAGAGAAAAAAGAATTTTCAATAATTTCTTAATCTCTCTTTCCAAATTTATCATTTCTTAACCTCATCGTTTAACGTAAAATAGAAATACGGATATCTCATTTTAACATTAGTGGCTCTCTAAAATCTTAAAAAAAAAAAAAAATCATCTCGTGGATCACACGTTGAACTGAAAAATGAAAATTATACAAGTATTACATCCTATGTAATTTCTGAAGTAAATAGCATATTACTTCATTGCTTCCCAAAGTGCACAGCCAAGTCAGGGCTCTGTACAACTCTCTGTGACTTGGGGATTCTATTCTACATGTCCATTGATCCCACTGGCCCCTTGAATTTCCAGAATTTCGACTCTCCGATTCATCTTTTTCCTGATCTTTATCGACAAATCTGCTGGATGAAATCTTCCACAGACGCTTACCCTGCAGCTTTGCTCCTCTATCAAGTGTGTCTCTACTCCTTCAACCATTGATCACACAGAAAAATTGGTCATCAGACTAACTATATATGTGAGGACTTTTTTTTTGTAGTAATAATTATCTCAATCATGTGTCTTTTGAATTTATGACTACAACATAAACTTCATGTGTAAAATCACTTGTAAACTACAGATGTCAATTTGAATCGGGTTTTATATGGATAGAGAAACTCAAATTTAGGACATGAAGATTTACATCGGGCTTGTGTTTGGAGCTAGCTTAAACAGGTGGTTTTTAAGGGTCTTGGATTAAATTAAACTACGTTCGTTTGAACTTTGGCTTTTTTACCAGCTTATGCAGTAGCTTTTTGGACAAAAAAAGGCTTATTTTGTCTGATTCAAGAAGTTAATTTTATGAACTTTTCTTTCCACTTTTAGAATTTTGTCACAGGTCCCACGTAACTCTTTAATTTATTATATTCATACAATATTATTAGTGACGTAAAAAAATATATTATGCAATATATATATATATATATGTAATTATTTTTTATTTTGACACAAAAAACTAAAAAAATAGAAAGACACTTCAAATGGACTTTTTCAATTTTTTAAAGAACATACCAAACAGTTTTGGGGAATTTTTAAAAATTTTTTTTGCAAAGTTTTTCAAATCACAAATTTTCACATAAAAAAAATCAGCTCCAAAAAGGCTCATTGTCCGGTGTTCGATCGCTCAACCAACCCCTATGGGACCTTACCTGGCCCATGAGTTAGAAGCCTTACCTTTCATATTGAGAAGGATTCTCCTTAGCTTTCTGCAACAAGCATTGCAGTCCAGGTTAATCCTCATCACCATGCAATAAACCTGCCAACTTTAACAAAAAAAAAATTTGAAATCTCCCTTAGAGTTTAATCCATGACTTATGAGAAATGCATCTATGTTTTTTTTTTAAAAAAAAAATCAACAAGAATTCTGATATGCAACTAAAATACTTGCCTGGCCCAAGATGAACATAGAAATTTGATCAGATTTGAGATTGATCTGAAGTTGTGATAGCAAGAAATAGTCGGAAAAGGGACTTTTCGATATAAGAGTCAAGAGATCATGGCAAGGTTGATATTTCTAGCTTCGGATTTTCGAGCAAATTCTTCTCTGGTGTCTTGGAATCAGATTCTGCTTAGGCTGAGAAGTCTAGGAAAGAGAGAGATTTCGTGGTTTGGCTTTCTTCTTCAACTACTTCATCCTTAGGTTAGTTTAATTTTTATGATCTCTGATTAAAGGAAGCATATCTTCATGGGTTAATGATTTGTGTAACTTGAACAATTCAACATGGTAAAGCATCTTTTCCTTGTTCACAAAGTTTCATGATACATCTTACTTGTTCACGATGAACTCATTTAATTATTTATCTCACTCTATCCCTATCCCCACCCGAGCAACCATGTATAATACATACATATTTAGGTAATCAATGTATAATGAATTCATCTGTCAGGTCTAATGTACCTATCAAGGAATAAAGAAAAACAACTTGACATTGTCAATTAAAAGAAGCTTTCCAAAAACGAAATACAAATTGATGTTGCGATTTTGTGTTTATTCTTTTCATTCGAGTCAATCCCTTCCTCTAGGATCCATCTAAGGCCGACTTACATCCCTGCAGGTGACTCATAGTCAAATTCCTTTATGCCTTTGCACCCACGGGTCAATCTCTGTCTGGCCCGAGGAAATCCTGCACCCATAAAAACTGTGTACCCAAGACTATCCAGTGGCCTAGAGTATGATAAAATCTGGTCATAACATCAATAGTTTTGCTCTTTCTCCTTGTCTAATGGACAATTTGTTTCAGAAGCTAATAACAAATTTATTTATCAACAGGAGGTGATATACTTACAATATAACAACTTTGATTCGCATAATAATGTTGTAATTACAATCACTTTTGTGGTAGCGTACGAGGGATCGCTTTGATTTCTAATAAAGTGCGTGAACAGCGAAATAGCCGCATGATCATGGACATGGTGAATTTGTTGAGGGGATTTCTGTATATTGCAGCAACTTGTTGTGAAGGTACTTCGAGAGCTTTAGGGTATTTACAAGTGAGTGTTACCTTCTTCTCCAACACACTCACCTCCACAGAATCAGACTCTCCTGACAAATGAACAAGAACAAATCATTTGGCTAACCAAAGACATAACCAACTTCAAATAACTCTACAGTACTAATATAGATCAGTGTCATGTCGGTTTATAGCATGTTTAAATCGTGTCGGGTTTGTGTTGTATGCTCTCGTGCTAAAATTTATCCAATTCATGCTCTAACACATCTATAGTCGTGTATAGTACGGTTCATTGTACATAGTCAAGTTCTTGGTAACCAATTTATGAAGTTGTTACAGACAATCAACCGTCTTGGGTTATGAATTAAATACTCAAGACTAAATCTAATTTCATGTCAATTTTCTGTCGAGTTGATGGGTCATGTTAAATTTGTGAAACCTATCCGGAAGAAACATAAAAGGCGTACTCGGTACACAAGATTCTCACCATTGTAGGGTATGAGGAGGGTAAGATTTATGCAATCTTACCTCTATAAATAAAAAAATTGTTTCCACAATTCGAATCCGTGACCTCCACCAGGTCACAATAGAGTAACCTTACCATTGCGGCCAAGACCCGACATGACCGCTGAAATATATTATTTAGAATTCTAGTCTAGGACTAACCCCCCCCCAAAAAAAAAAAAAAGGTTTTAAAATGTGCATCTACATAGTTAAAATAAAAATAAAAATGATGCGTCCTGCTCCCAGTAAAAAAGTGATGCCTTTTGCTGGAAAGTTGGCCAAAGTTAATCATCTAAAATAGTAGATGAAATGAGTACACTACAGCAAAATACCCCCTAATTTAGGCATTATGGCCCAGAAATCACATGACTTGATGATTTCACCTCACCCATACCACTGATTACCATACTGAAAAGTGAAAAAATCTATAAAAAATAGTAAATTCTATCCAAAAAATAATAAATTTTAATTTTAAAAAGGGCAAGTAATCCAAAAAAAATGGTAATTGAACCAAAGAAGTAACAGCAATCCAAAAGTTAACCCAAAAAATGATAAGTAGTACAATACCGAATTTTTTTCGACATCATCTATATGTCAATGTAGAACCCACGGCCAGGACAAAACAAAATAAATTCCAAGTTAATTTAATAATGAACAAATTGTTGATAATGTCAATGGACAAAAGCAACTTGAAAGGATTTCTAGGGAATTTAGTTGATATTCTTTAACAAAAAGCAATTAAAAATAAGAGAGCTTAGGAAAAGACCACTTTTTGGCTTGAAAGGGAGCTAGTTCTTGAAAGTTCATTGAAAGTGATTCCATACCACTAGACATTATAATAAGTATAGAGGGAATCCAAGGAAATTACAAGGATAAAATTATGTGTACCAAATTATCTATAGTCGTTGGATCAATGATGAGACCCACGGATCTGACGGCTGCAAATAATTTGGTGCACACTTTTGGTGTGCATAGTATTGTTCAAATTACAATTGTCTTCAAATATTATAAATGGACAATACTACTTCGATTTAATTTTCATTACAAACACTTTGTGGCCACGTTCTTTAAAATTAAAATTGGGTAAAAGATACTTTTGTAGTAGTTTAGAACATGTAATTATATCCCTTATAATTCTTGACATGTCTTGCAAATCAAACATGGAATAGAACATGTAGTAATGTCGATTGCACTAAGGTAATTCTAGTTATGTCTTGCAAATCAAACACGGAATTAGAGAATTTCGATCTAAAATAAATGCACAAGTGAACCAGATAAGAAATTAGTAAGTTTTAAGTGTAGACCATAATTTATAATTTTGAATAAATTGGGACAAGACACAACTAGATACGATGCCAATGTGAGACAACCTGACCAATTATCACCAGGAGACGAGCTATTAACAACATCACAATGGCTAAAAACTGGGTAAAAAATTGTTTCACCAGGTTTCTTCCCAGTGGGATGAACCAGAGAAGGAATTGTAGAATGAGAACTTACCATTCATTTTAGACATTATTTCAGCAACCCTCTTCTGACACCCTGAACATCGAAAATCAGCTAATAAAACAACTTCCTGGACCTGAAAATCAACACCCATAAGCCCATAACCACTGCAAGTGTAAACAATAGAAACACAAACAGGCCAAAAGTGCAAACCCAATTGCAAATTGCAAACACAGAACATTGCCCCAGAGAGAGAGAGAGAGCTTACAAGAGGAATGGTCAAGGATTCAATAGAAGCAAGGGTAGTTCTAGGTTGGACTTGAAGTGTTTTCCCTGAGTTTCTGAGTCCAATTGCAGTAAATCCTTTCTTATGTCCACCAACAAAAGCCATGCTCTGTTCTGTGATTACCTGAACACTGCAAGAGCTTCATATAGAGCAGTGAAGGTAAAAGTTCATTCTCACCTAGTGTGTGTGTGTGTGTGTGAGAGAGGGAGAGAGAGAGAGGAAAATGATCTATGAACAGCTCCAGCTACAGTGATGGAGCTCTCCCATCTTTCTGAGATGCTTGGTTTGTTGGAGAACAAGGGTTACAGAGATAATTGAAAAGACAGACATGGACACGGTTAAATAACAAATGGGTAAAGGTCATTTGTTGACAAAGATGCCTCATTCCCAGAGTCCGACCCACAATTTCCTCCTTTGAACTTTTCTTGCACAGAATTATTGTATTGGGGTTGCTTGGAAGACCACCTCTCCCCACCCCCCCTCTCTCTCTCTCTCTCTCTCTCTCTCTCTCTCTCCTACTTTTGGTTCATCAGGTCAATAATCAATTAGGTTTGGCAGTGACAACCAAGCATTTTGGAGTCTGGAATTTTGATCGTGTTTGGTGGGCTCATAGGAACTCTAACCGAATTCTTCATTTTAGATATTTAAAATATATTTAAATATTATATTTTTTATTTAAAAAATTAGTGGACTAATAGGAACCCTAACTCAATTCTTCATTTTAGATATTCAAAATATATTTAAATATTATATTTTTTATTTAAAAAAATTATTTTTATAATTTATTCTAACTACGCTATTTATTTTAACTCATTATTTTAACTAACTTTTAATAATTTAAATCAAAAAATATAACGTAATCTACTACGTCGTCGTCATATTTTTAACGACCATATTTTAAACGGTCATATTTAACTCAAAATTTAAATTAATTCAACTCAATAGAGCTCTTGAGGGAGGGGAAGAAAGGTTTGGGGGAAGGCATGGGGAATTGCAACATATATTGTTTTGGCAGCATATATATATAAATATATTAACTACAAATTAATTAAATATTAAATAATTAAATATATGATATAAATGAGTGGTGTGATATTTTTAGGGAGAAAATATATAAATAATTAAATATGTGATAGAAATGAGTGATGTGATTTGACGTTTGAGTCTGACAAGGGATGATGAGTGAGGTAAATAATTGGTGATGACTTTGAGGGAAAAAATATGACTAGAATAAAATTTAAACACACTCTTATTTTATATATATATATATATATATATATATATAGAGAGAGAGAGAGAGAGAGAGAGAGAAGTACAGGGGATTGCATCACATATACATATAGAGAGAGAGAGAGGGGAATTTTAACGAGGTTGAATGACTCTCTAAATTTGAAGAGCCAAAAATGTGAAATAAGAAATATATAGTGGGATAGAAAGTGAATCGGAGAGGATTTTTAGTGTTTAGCTACGTAAAATAGCTAAAAATTAAAAAATAGAGAGTGGATTGGAGTTGTGTAAGGCTTGGCTCTTTAGAAACTCTCTCAACACATGCTAACTTAGGTCTTGAATGCATATTATAGTCAATGGTGTGCTTGGCTGCTTGGCACAACCCTACAATCTAGAAACCTAATTTAATATGTTTGTACAATTGACAATACACAATGGCAACCCATGCTTACACTCAACAATAACCCTGATTAAAAAAGTTTAACTTCTTGAAAATATTCCTTGTGACGATAAAATTTGGTATTCAATCTTTCATAATCACGACCTTATAAAACAACCAGAATTGTCAAAGAATATGAGTATAATGTGATTATTGTTAGAGGGGAAGAGGTTTTTGTGTGGTTCCAAAGTTAATTACAATTTATCCAGTTGAAATTTTGAACACTCATTTAACTGCACTATACTTCCATTTGTGATAATAAACTCATTTATACAATATTTTTTTGGGAAAATTCTATTACAATTTTATCTATTATTCTGATTTATAGTCACTCTTCCTTTTACAAACCCACTATCTCTTTTTTCCAAAACCACCATTCATCATTTACCACCACCGTCATTGGTATTGACCGTTATTGTTACAATTGTGAAACGTGTTCTAAATTCAATCCGTCAACAACTCAACCCCAACCCCAACCCTACCGCATATGTGTATATGTGTTATTTCTACTAATTCTTCAAGCTTACTACCTATAACTTCTAAATATGGAGGAAAGATTAAGTATGCACTTAAGAATAAGAACAAAGAATATGAAAATAACAATTTAGCAACAAAACAGGAATCCATAGCCTCTTCAAGATGAACACCTCACGGCAATACTTGAATCAACATTGTTACAGATGGATAGCAAGAGAGCGAAAAAGTAGGGGCTCAATTCGGGTTAGTTGGGTGGGTTAATGGGTCAACCCTAATCTAACCCTAAATACATAATCTTCAAACATAATCTTAACGATAACTCAACCTCAATCCGAGGATTGTACAAGTTGAATTCAATGTATGCTCAAGTTCAATTCGGGTTGATTTCAGGTTATTTTTGAAAAATTTTGAAAATGAAAATGAAATTTGAAAGTTTAATTTTGGCAAAATTTGAAAATGAATCTTACACCTAAACTCGTATATACCAGTGATGGTCTTTGTTGAGAGGAACAAATTTAAGAGAGTCGAAGATCTTCGTTGTAAGAGGTTGAGAGACTTAGAGAGGCAGAGTGAGTCGATCGTCAATGAAAATAAAGCGAGGGTTGTCGGTAAGAGTGTTCAAATTTTCAACCGGCCGCAAGTTCCTATCCTACCTGACCCTACCCTACCCTATTGAACGGTTAGCCACAAAAATCAGGTAAGAATGCAGAAGAGTTTTTGGTCTTCTGACAATTTTCAGGTAGAAATGCGGAATAGCCATCTATTTCGCATTCCTACCCTACCTTACCCGCAATAATTTTTTAATATATATATATAAACTTAAAAAACCTTAAACCCTAATCATAGGCGAAACAATTATGATTTTAATGTATTTTATATGATTTAAAGTTTAAACTTAAATTAATTGTTCTTATATTTGTGTAACAATTATGGTAGATTGATGTTCATATTTTCTTGTGTTTTATTATAATTCTTGATATAGTTGTTTTAGATTTTAATGTTAATTGATTTATTGTGTTGTTAAATTGGTGTATGTTATTTAATTAAATTATTAAAATGATCCAAAAATTAATTGTTACAAAAATATTTACCCGATTTCCTACCCGACTTCCTACCTGATTAATATGGTAGGAAGTCGAGTAGAAATTTCACACCTGTCGGGTAGGGTAGGCTAAGAAAAAACTCTTCTACAAAATATCGGATAGGAAGACAAAAGAGCATATTTCATACCCATATAATAGAGGGAGCACCCTTAGTTGTCGGTCGTGACTGGTGGTGGTGATTGAGTGTCAATGGAATAGGCCGAGAGAGGGAGGCTGACTGGCTGAGAGAGAAGTGAGAGGCTGGCTGGCTGAGTGAAGGGTCAGAGGGGGTTGGCACAGTTGAGTGAATGCTGAGGTGATTGTGAAATATGAAGTGTGAACTGCCCGATTTAATATTCGGGTTAAGTCTAATTTATATTCGGGTTCAACTCGATTTATATATTTGAATTGAACCCGATACCTCAATTGCGATTAATATTTTTCAACTCGGTCCTAACCTTAATATTAAAAACCTTGACCCAAATTCTATTTTTTTTGAGTCGAATTAAGATTAACACATTCAAATTACACCCATAAAAAAACAGAGCAATACTATTAAAACCTAATTTATTGGCCTAATTCACTATAACCTTTGAATTAACTGTAAGACCTATCAAACATTGGAACTTAGTATCGATCCAATAATTTTACTGAAACTACATCATTATATTAATAAATTAGATCAAATTTTTAAGTCCAAATATTATTACTCTAAAAAAAAAACCCAATGCTTCAAACCACATGTTAGCCAGGTATATACATCAAACCAGAGAAATCCAACAACACATAACCAAAGAAGTTCAATAAGCTTTGAAAAAGTCAGAGCATTATAGAAGATGAAATGAATAAACTATTTCATTATCAGAAACATTCTGTACAGAATACATTAAATCCTCGAGATCTATGGGGGAGAGAAATCTAAGTATAGGTACAGGACAAGACATTAGAGCTCTAACAAAGGTGTTCTACTGCGCTCAAAACAGCTGCCCATTCATTACTTGGGAGGGCATTGTAGCCTCTCCGGGCTATCGTCAGCTATAGATACAAAGGGAAAAGGAGTTAAATAAACATTGCCCGCATTGAAGAACATCTAGGAGTCGATGAACATGAATCTAAAAGCCTAATCCCTCTATAACAACTAGTATCCCCAATGGAGAATGGATCAGAAGTTCCAAAAATGACTTTGGAAGCCAAATTTAGTGGAGGACAACTATTACCTAGACATAACTAAGCTTGTTAGAGAAGGTACGACTGAAGAGCTAAACATAGGATTCTCAATGTACTTGCAGTTGTCATGATCAGTTTTCAGGGATGAAGGAATGAAAAAATTTTCACAGGTTGGCATTCTCTGAGCTTCTGGGCTGCTTTTATTCTCACTAACGCTGTAAAGCACTTTCTGGGCAGAATTCCTACCACGGCCTCTCTTTCTTGATGACTTCCACCTCAACTGTGAAAGCAAAACATCTTTCGAAAGATCACGGACCACTTCTAATTCTTTTACCTTGTCCTCTCTAGAATGCACCAAAATATTGCTACTTCTACTGTCATCCTTTACTGGTAAGCAATCTTTCTGAACTCTATTACTGCATACTGCACCTTGGTCCAGTTTGCCATCACATAATTTAGGCATACTTCGCTTTAATTCAAGGCCAGAAAATATTAAGGTCACAAGCTCTGGTCTTTTCTCTATGTTTCTCCATCCATTTCCCAACCATTCCTGAGAACGTCTTAAGTCATTCGAACTGAATATTGATTCCCGCTTTTCTCCTGTGAGTAAAAAATAGAGCATCTACGTAAGAATATGAAATTAGCAGGAAAAAAAAAACAGCAGTATAGATAACTAGAAATTTTGAGATTGACCATGCTGAAAAACAAAATCA